TCTGTTACAATAAACTTTGCTTGATATTTCATAGGTTTGTTTTATTTCTCAATGGGTGAATATTAATTTCTCTATAGAATCCGACGGTGCGAATTGTCTCCTAATTATGGGTTGAATTAAATTAATAGTATTGTCTGCTTTTTTAACCACTTTACTTATATTACGTATTTATTTATTCCTTATTCAAGGTATGACCTATTGTTTTTTTAATATTCTTGTAGATCTATAACCAGAATTAATTGAATGATGGAATCATAAGCAAAATTTGGTCTATAAAAGAATGACTTTTTTATTTGTATATGAGCTTGGGATCTTCCGTTAGGCAAAAAAATTTAAATATTGTTTTTAAATAAATAATTACGTAAATATAGTCATTTAGAAACTATTTACATAGGTATAGCAGTCAAATACGTTCCACGGTAGTGTGACCGGTTGGAGAGAGACACTTCTCATTGGGGCGTGACCGAGTAGAGAGACACTCCCCTGTGGGGCGTGTTTCACCAGGTGCTGCCACGTGGCACAAAAGTCAACAGTTTGACCGTACAACTTTGGAAGTCTATAACTTTTGACTCGGTTATCCGAATTAGGTAATTTTTTTTATTCCTCATAACTTTTTGAGATTTACGTAATGACACCTCATTTGGGATATTTTGTCTCGCAAAAAATTTAAATTTACAACAATGATATCATAAGAACGTTTAAATCCAAATTAATAAACAGAAAATCACTGTTATGATTAGAAACATTCATAGTAAAGACCCTTATGATTATAGTAAAAATACATCAAAACGATATAGTTTTATTAAAAATAACAAAATTTTGTGTCATTTAAAATAATAGAAATTATCCCCACCTTAATAATTTTATCAAAACATTCATGGTATCTCATCAAAAGAAAAGGAAAAAAAATAATAAAAATAGCACTACCATATTGTTTATATTTTAAAACAAAGACAGGAAAAAAATTTTATCACTATCTTAATATTCATTTTTATCTTTCTTCATTAATAAAGTTCGTTAGTCTTAACTTTTTTTATTTATCTATTTTTCTTTTAATAGAGTATCCTCAAAAATTTCCAAGACTCCCCTCTTTTATTCCCGCTCTCTTATTTCTCTAAAATAAATTATTTTTGATAAAGCCTCCTTACTATTTATTAATTTTATATTCTTTATTCTTTATCTCATTCTTTTTTAATTTATTTTTTTGCTAGAACTTTCTCTCATTTACTAATAGTAGTCTTATTAATTTTTGCTAGAACTTTACTCTTAGGCTCCATTTTTTTTCAGGTTAATAATTTCTTTTTAGAAATAACTATAAAATTATTGTTACCTTATAATTATTACTAAAAATAATCTAACATTTTTATAATCATGAACTAAAACTTAAAAATTAAAATAAAAACAAAAAGCATTCACTTAACTTTTTAATATAAATTATTCGATATTCTGTCACCGACAGACGTTAATCGGATAAATTTAATAAAAAAATTCATTTAAATTTTTACTATATACCTCAATAACATACATAATTAATTTTGATAAAATAAGTCATATTCATTGTTATAGAGAGAAAGAAGAAGACAGAGAGAGACATAGGTGGAAGATGTCACCGCAAAATTTACTATCAATTTAAAAAAAACTTTACCTTTTCAACCCCTAAAGTGAACATTTTTTATGCAAAGAAAACAAAGAATAAGAGAAGAGAGCAAAGGTTTAAATTTCACAAAAAATATGTACTAATTACTATAATCTAAATAGATAATTCAAAGCAGACCTCTCATTTCTAAACCTCTTTTTCTATTCACTAACTGTTAGCCCAACAAGAAAAAAAAACCAAAGACAAATTAGAAGAGACAGATTGCTAAGAAGCACAATCACCAAACCCTTCTGCCCCTCACTTCCCTCTCTGTCACGAATCATCAGAAAAGGAGAGGGATCGAAAGAATAAGGTCCATTCTTTCATAAGACTCTCGGACTTCTTATTTTTATTCATGGATGAGAAGATTTTTGCTAACATCTAAGTATAATACAAGTTGAAACTGCAATCAGAGTTAGAGGGGTTTCAATAGATATAGGACCTGAGAATATAAAGAAGTTCTATAAACTCTTTGCGGTGGGAGAACACAACTTCACATTAATGGTGAGAAAAAATAGAGGTTTCTTGCATTATACTTATGTTAAAAATTTTCTTCAAATTTTGAGAGGGGCGACCGCCTACCCTAGCACCCCCCTGGGTCCGCCTCTGGGAGTGTCTCTCCTCGATGACGCTCAAATGAGAAATTTCTCTCTCCAATCGGTCACATCTCTATGGGGCGTGTTTGACTATTATACCTACATAAATAGTTTCGAAACGACTATATTTACGTAATTATTTGTTAAAAAAGTAATTTAATTTTTTTCCCTCTTCCGTTAAGTATTGGATATTTTCATTGGGTTCATTTTTTCTGCAGTTACTGCAGATAAGTTATCTGCAGTAAGCCCAATACGACGTCGTTTTGGGCAAAAATCATGATGTTTTTGTAATTTTATTTTATTTCAGAGTTATAATAGTCTTTATATTTATAATTTTTTAAGATTTAATACCAAAACGACGTCGTTTTGGGAATAAATGCAGAGAATTTATCTGCGTTAACGGCAGAAATACTTTTTCCATTTTGATTCTATTTAAGTTTATAAAATTGCAGCCTTGATGAAAATTCTTGTATCATAAGTTCGACAATTAGTTGGATGTGAAAAGGCATCTATAATAGTTGGTGTAATTGTGACGTAATAAAAGTAATGTGTAATTGCAGTTTTGAAAAGAAAAGAAAAGTTATGTCTAATTAAATGTTGACTCTTCATATTTGGAAGTAGGGTCGTAATTGACATTTATTTGACAGTTCTTTATGGATTTTTTGGGTTTATCACAAATAAAAGCGATTCATTATCTGATTGAACGATCTGAAAATAGAATTATGCACGTTTACTCATGCAAGCCGAATTTGATAATCCAAGACAAGACTGGACTCTGTTTAGTTCGAGAAGATTTCATTAAGAATATATGCTTATATATAAATGAACAAACCCCCTTAAGAATATAAGCTTATATTTTCAACAACATAAAAGTAAAGAAGCTTACATATCTTAAATTGTAAACTATTTATGATACTAACATATTAAGATACACATTTTAGTTTATATATATGTAAGCTCATATATAGTAAAAATAATAATTACAATTCTCTTATTTTAGTTTTATTGAAGTTACGCGTTAAAATTGGAAAATCAATCACGTGAGCAAAACTCGCTCCGGTAATATTTAATGATTAAGATTAAAGATTTCTCCTAGCTTTGTTTAATGATTCCTTCTTGATACCATTATTGATAAATAATAAGGGTATTTATCAATCGATCATTCAAACCGCATTGACCAAACCGAAAAATCGATAACCGAATAAATCGAAAAATCAAAAACTGAAAAAAAAAATCGCAAATTTTAATTGGATTGGATCGATTTTCAGATTGATTGATAAAAACCGATCAAATATATCGATTTTTCTCTACCTACTTGGGTCTTTCCTTAATTATAGCCTAAAAATTTCTAAACCCAAGATCCATTAACCCATCAGCTACACCCAAGAAAAAATCTAGTCACATCTCATCAACAAAATTTCATTGCGTAAAGCTTTATATCTCACTGCAAAAAAAAAAAAGTTATGTTATCGTTTACTTATGCTTTTGTATTTCAAAAAAAATAAAATTACAAAGCCAATATATACAAAAGATATTATTTGTACAATAATCATGAAACCAATGTTAGGATTTTCAAAAAAACCGAAAACCAATCTAATTCAAACCGAAAAAAGTTGGATTGGATCGGATCGGATTTGGAAAAAATTCAAACCGAATAGATGATTACATTATCAAACTGAAAGGACTGGATTAGATTATTAGATTATTTTTTTGCTTCTAAAATTAATTCAATTCAGACCGCGAGCATCCCTAATAAATAGCTCAAGCACGCTAGAACTTCAAAGTATTTATGATTTTTTTTTTACTTACATTTAAAAAGTTCAATAAACCACTTAAACCAAGGTTATAACCAATCATCGCTTTATACGCCTGTCCAGATAATTTTGCGGTTGTATGGCGGTTCATGACAAATACCAAAGTCTTCGGTGGAAACAATAGTTGATTTGATATTTAAAGGCTGCGAATGTTATATTAAAAATTTACATATCAAACAATATTTTTGCACTGGTCCAATGTTAAAATTTAAATATTTGTAACTAGAAGTTATTATCTAAAACTTTTCAATATCCATACCTTACAACGTGGATATGCACCTATATTTTATTCATGCTTTTAGTTTTTTAAGGTGACAAAATATTCGAATCACGTTTTTAATATCTCAAACCCTCGTATGCCATGCGTTGCAACGATTGGTTTAGGCTTTTAAATTTCCGTTCATTCAAAAGAAAGTGGCATGACCTGTCTCAATTTTCAATAAAAATAATTGTTTCTAGAAGTTAGAAGATTGTACTTTTATTGTGAATTGCTAATTAAACATTATTTATTTATTTATTTCTAATTTTATTTGTCATAAGGCACACGCTAATTAAACTTTTATCAATCACACGTTAACGGAGAAAAAGCCAATAAAAAAAAAATATATGGGTCGTGATTCCCGCGCTTGAGTGTCTAGAAGACAAGAACTTTGACGCCTTTTATTCATATATATTATCGAAACAGAAAAATATTCAAAGGATTGAGTAACGGTATATTCTCAGAAATCAAAATCAAAACTTGTAGTTGTCATCATCGAATTCCATTTGGTCAAACAAAGTTGCAGTGCACCCACGTCATCGTCAAATTGAATGCTCAATAAATGGACGTTCCAGTCAATTTCAATTTTTTCATTTCTCATTGATTGCTGCAGCTACTTTCCCTTCTTCCTCTTCTTCTTGTTTTATTGTTAAGGAATTGGAATTGGTGTCTGTTCTTGTAACTTGTAAGTCACAGATCAACGTTGCTAGCAAACTAGAAACAGATGGCTCCCAACGGAAGAGTTAACTCCAACTGTACAAATGCTTCTAATCCTTACCATCAGTGCTCCCAAGCTTGCCTCCAAAAGACCCACCAAACCAAGCCACGCACAAATAAAAAGACTTCAGGTTAGTTTTACTTCCTCTTTCTTCTGCTTTATAAGTTTTATCCTCGTACGTGAGAAGAAAAAATGTATATAATTAAGATATGAACCCAAAATATTTGCTTTTAGGTGAGAGTCCTTTGTATATCTTTAAAAAGCAAAACACTGAAATAGTGCTATCAAGTGTAACTGATTAATTGCTTTACGTTGCTATTCATTTTGTTTCTGCTTCTCCTGTCCATCCATTCTTCCTCTGTTGATATTTGCTAAACCTATATATGAGAAATTAAAATAAAACTTAATGAAAACGAGAAATAAGTTACCCTTTGATTTGTCTTAAGACGGAGGGGAGGAAAGCTAGATTTTTTTTTACTGTCTTTTTTTTTTAAGTCTTGTTTTTCTATACACATAGGGGATTATTTTTCTCATGCAGTAGGAGAGGAGTTTTATCTCCTACTCTTACAAATGAAGTGAGGTCCACCAATTTAAAAAAAATAATGCGTTATTCAGTGTGTGCACACGTAAGAAAGCAATCTCATGTACTAAGAGAATATGATTTCCCATATGTGTGTATATGTATTCTTCTTTTTCTTATTTAATGGTTCATTTTCTTCAATCTTTCTTGCTTTTATTTTATTTATTTTTATTTGGATTAATTTATCATTTACCAACTAATTTAAAATAAAGATGATACTGATCAGTTTGATGAGTAAATTTGCAACCTCTACTTGAAATTGTGGATGGCTTGCTGATGAATTTTTCGTTAGTTACATTGAATAAGGATATATACTATTTCGATATGCATAGCCAGCATAGCTGCCAATCTCTCAACACATGAAAAATCTTTTTTTATTTTTTCACCCTCTTTAAGGTTATGGCCGAAGTGTGACAGATGGTGAGCTCGGCAAAAAGGTAAAAGAAGAAAGACGAACTTACTCAGGTTGCCCTAAAGCATCTAATCCTTACCATGAATGTGATGACAATTGCCACAAAAGATTATCGGCTTCAGGTTCCCTCCTCTCTTTTTTCTCTGCTATTTAATGATATTAGTGATCTACAATTCTATTTAACAATTTTCTTGTTTGTATCTCAATATCGTTTAACAGGTTGTACAGTGTGTAATGAATTTCATTGCCAAGTAAAATTTTACTAAATCAATATTTCTCTTCATTTATATTTTCCAATCTATTGTCACAAAAAAAGAATCACCTAAAAACTAGTGGGTTTTTTTTTTTAAGAATGCGTCATCAGAACGGCAAAGCTGAAGAATTTCCTAATTCTAGTATACTGTATTGAATCTCAGTCCTTTTGCAATGCTCTTTCATTCAAAATATGTCATCTAAACAAACATTTATGATTTGAATTCAAGCAGTATGGGATTGAACTAGAATCAAATTTGTTTTGAAACAGACCGGTTTACAGCATGAGAATAAAGTATCTTTGGATATTATTCAACCGTCTGTGTTCATTAGCCATTTTGTTTGACCACTTCATAAATATTTGGGCAGTTTTATTTGACAAAACATGTTACTATCCTGTCTGTCCATCCATACATTCATACTATCTGCGAGACAATTTCTAAATGGTTTACCTAGCTCACGACTATAAACTCACTGTACCAAATAGCATGTATAATTCAAATGTTTAATAAAACTGCTAGATGAGGCTTTTCTATTAGTTGTTTTGACAGTTTGACTAAATAAAGACGTTTTTTTCAAAACGGATCATTGATAAAGATCTTTCACACATTGAATGAATACTGTAAAGAACACTTTTCTGACTCCTGTCCATTCTGATTGCAGGTGCCACTCCTCCTTTAAAGTTTGACAGGAAAAAGAAGATAGGTTCTAAGCCAGAACCCCCTGTTCTTGACAGTGTTCCAGCCTCAAAAGTTGGGGCAATTTATCTCTCCGGTGCTTCATCACCAATATCAGATTATTCTGAGAAGAAAAAGGCGGAACCAAAAAGCAATGAGCACATGCATTCTGGACAAATACATGTCCCAGATGTCATGGTAGTGGCCTTTCTTTTCTCTCATACTCTTTAGACAACCCTTTTGATTTTTGGGCTAATTCAAACTCATTGTGTTTCTTTGACAGCCTGTCTATCACAAAGACCAATTAAAGAATGGTGCTGAGCATCTCTCCAAACCAATTTCTTCTCACAAAGTTGTTCCAATCACCCATGTTGATGACACAGGAGAAGAAGGTACTACTTCAGCTGGTGGAACCGTAGAGAATAATTTTGATGAAGAAGAGACAGAGTCCGTGATTTCTGAATCCCGTATTGCAGTTGGAATATACAATGTGAAAGAAAGTTTTGCTCCCATACTGCGATCTATCCTTGACAAGTATGGGGATATAGGAGCAAGCTGTCATTTGGAATCAGTCGTCATGCGTTCATATTATGTTGAGTGTGTATGCTTTATGGTCCAAGAGTTACAATCCGCTTCAATAATGCAATTAAATAAGTCCAAAGTCAAAGAATTGTTGGCTATTCTTAAGGATGTAGAATCTGCTCAACTTCGTGTAGCATGGCTGCGTGGCACGCTCGATGAAATAGGTGAAAATATTGAATTCATTAATCAGCACCAGGACGTGGAGGTTGAAAAGGTTAATTCTGATCGTGAAGTGGAATCATTGAGAAAAGAGCTAGAATCAGAACTGGAAACTTTGGCTCAGAAAGAACAAGAGGTTGCTGATATTAAAACACGAATTCCTGATACCAGAGAACGTTTGACCGAGCTTGAGCTCAAGTCTTCTGCACTGGAAAAGAGCATGCTATCTATCAAGTCCAATGTTGATAATTTGCATAGCATATCCTTGATAGATGAACTATTGTAATATATAGCTGCTCAGCTAAAATCGTCTTAATGCTTAAAAAGTAGAATATGTAACTGAATAAATACATGGGCAATATTTTCTAATTGAGTTATGATATGAACGCGTGATACACAAATGTACCCTAATTTGTACCATCCAATTATTAGTTAAATTTTAAGTGTCCTGTGGTAGCCCTTTTTATGTTTGATCTCGTTTAATGCGGCTCAAACAAGGGCGACAAAAACATTGCATCCCTACATGTCATTAATGGTTCAATCATGCCATTCACCAGTGGAAGCCTAGAGAAACTGGGAGGAGGTTTTAATAGCTGATGATTTGTTGCTAACTCTGCTCCCTCCTTCAAGGTTGGGTTACAGTTGATTATGATGACCATCTCAACTCAAGACTGTGGACGGATTTTGATGGAGGAACTTGCTGATGTTTCCTTTTGTCTTAATGTAGATTATTAGTTTTTGGGAATTCGCTTTACTTAAAACGAACACACACAAAAAGTAAATCTGAAATGACTGATTATTCCTACATTTATATAATATTATAAGCAGATGTGCTGCCACACTAAAAAAAATGTAAATACTTTTTATATAGTTCTATTATCTTTATTGTACAGGGTATCTAATGAACTGAGATTTTTTTTTAATTTTTGTTGTACGAGATATTAATGATTAAATGATCGTTAAGTCATATATATACTTTAAAAAAGTGACAGTACTGTTACCAAAAAAAAAAAAAAAAAGTGACAGTGTTAGTTAAAAAGTTATTGCACGTTTTTAAAAAGTTATTGCATAGTTATTTTACATCTAACTACGCATTTAGAAATCAGTTTTTACGAGTATGTATGTGTCGCCGTTTTTTAAAATTCGCAGTTCAATATTTATAGATCCGTAACTAGTTTAAATAAATTTAAATCTGAAGGATTAATATGCCCAAGTTAACTTCACATATCTTGGATCAACACTAATATTGTTGAGGATGCAATGCAAGGGACACGGGAGAACGGATAATGATTACCTGATGATCATTAAAATGCAACAAGATATGACAATCTTTTTTTGTGTGTGTGTTGTGGATAGATATGACAAAATATTATATATGTATTCTTTTATCTACAATTTAATTAATTAGTGAAAGAACATTTTATCATTTAAATATTTATATTTTATGAAATTTAAATTTATGAATATGTATTAATTACTAATTATTAAAAGCATCTATATTTAAAAAAAATTCCCGTGTGATGTTTGGATTTTGATTTTGTTTTCTGATATCTAATTCTTGTTCAATTTTCTATGACAGAGAGTTCCGAAGACCAAAACCATTTCTTGGTTTAGGTTAATAAATACCTATCGTCCTTAAATCATAGATGCAGAGAGTCACGGACACAGCTCAACCACTTAGCGCTGTAAAGTGAGAAAAATTTTGGTGTCCAATTTTTTTTTTATATTTTACTCTAAGTCCTGAAAAAAAAATATTATTTTCAATGAAAGGGAACAGGTGTTTTCTGGTGCTTCAAAGTTTTTTCTGGCTGTAAAGAAAATGTGGATCTAAAAGCGTGGGACCACTCTCATATAAGTCTGTTTTGACCGTTTGAGGATTCCTTTCCTTTCAAGTTTCAACCTCGCATTCATTAACTGGCCCCACCTTGATTCATGATTCCCATTCTTATAAAATAATAAGCGTCCTATTTTGCGGCCACGTGATGCTGCTCTGCTATGAGGTTAACGTGGCAATCGACTCATAGTCATAGTTGGCATTTCGTCGAACCCTTTTCCCCACTTTTTCAGCCTTCTGCTTTTCCCTTTTTTCAACTTTTTTTTTTTGTTGGGTTTCATGGCCCATTTAGCTGGAGGGTCAGTCACTCCCATTATTTCGAAAGATGTGAACCCTTTGCTATGTGCAGCAATTTCTAACATACTTTACTAAAGAGCCTGAGGCCACCCCTAAAATGGTATCTGTGGACCACACATTCCTGACATTGCAAGGTAACGCTCGATGGTGAAAATTTTTTGAAAACGCTCGATGGTGAAAATAATGTTAAAGATATATCAAACAAATTATGAGAATATGTATACCTGCAATAAAAATAATTCAGCGCACAGTTGAACTCAAAAATTGCAAGGAATTTTTTTTTTCTATGTTGGGTACACTAATTCCATATATAAAATGGTGATTAATATGCAAATAATTAGTAAATTTATATTTGTTTATCAACCCTCCCCACCCCCTTGCACAATATGCTAATAACAAACTATTTCTACATAAACTTCCCCAAAATTTACATGCGAGCCTGGGCAAAATCCTTTTTATGAGGATTATAATTTTCAAACCAAATATAACATAAGAAAAAAAAATTCCCTTGGAATTTTATTTTTTTCCTAAATAAGGTACTAAAGAATTTTTGATAGGCCAATTTTTTTTCGAGAACGTTGAATTAATTTAATTTTACTGATATTATATATTAATTTAAAAACAATTCTACCTCTTCAATAATAACCTTCCTCAGCTATTTTATATAGAAAAGATATTTTATTCCTAAGAAAAATAAATTTACTTCACCTCTTACAAGAGAGAGTGGCATCTTTGATCTTTCTTATTCAGTAAGATGAAAAAGAATTCTGATTACAAAATAAAACTCCAGAAGAAGTATGACTCAAAAGCTACAAACAGAACTACTGTAAAATACACTACCTAACAAGAATTCGGACGTCCTTAACCCGCGAACAGTGAATCAAGTAATTGCTCAAAAGTTGAAGTTTGAGAGGCTGTCTTTTCCTTTTCATGGGATTTTTGAATCCACTATTGACCAGACTACAATAATGAAGACCAAAAACACAGAAAGAAAGACGAGACAGCCCAAGAGCCAAGAAGGTAAAAAAAAAAAAAAAAAGTTATGTTGCAAGAAATTAAAGCGGCACTCTAAGCTATTCCGTGAACATTCGCAGCCAAAGCTAGCGAAATTAAAATAGACTGTAATTTATAAAAAAAAATTAAAGAAGAAATTAAAGATTATCAGCATGGGCATCATCATCTCATACAAACAAACCAAAGAAATAAATAGTAAATTACAAAAGCAATGAAGGGTCACCATCACCATAATCTAAATCTTACTCATACACACAAACCAAGCGAATAAATGATGAATGCAAACACAAAAGTTCTATCCTAACTCTCTGTTCATGTTTGTCTTCATTAGTTGGTGGGGTTGCTTCGGAAAGATCCCAATGCCTTGATAGCTGCTGCTCTCAGTATGTATTGGTGATATGCAGCTGCTGCCAACGCTCCCACGAATGGCCCAACCCAGAAGATCCACTGCAACCACACACAAACAAAACCACGAGTTAATTAAGAAAATATGAACATGCACGTTAATTAATCTCAAAGAAAGAAAAAAAAAAAATTACATACATGGTCATCCCAAACTTTGGTATCGTTGATGATAACAGCAGCACCAAAGCTCCTAGCAGGGTTTATCCCGGTACCAGTGATTGGTATGGTAGCCAAGTGAACCACGAAAACAGCAAACCCGATTGGCAACGGGGCCAAAACCTGCACAACCCGACCCATTTTTAGTAATTACAGAACCCAATTAAGCAGCACGAAATCGATAAGTACGTAATTGAATAATAAATGGTGCAAAGTGGAAACATAAACATACGGGGACATGGGAGTCACGGGCGCTTCTCTTGGGGTCAGTGGCAGAGAAAACGGTGTACACAAGCACAAAAGTGCCGATAATCTCAGCACCCAGTGCAGTGCCTTTAGCGTAGCCAGTATTCACCATGTTAGCACCGCCATGAAGAGAGTTGTAGGAGTGCTTCATGAAAGCCTTCACCAAACCAACGCCACAAATAGCACCCAAGCACTGTGCTACCATGTAACAAATAGCTCGAATCAGAGACACTTTCCGAGCCAAGAACAGGCCGAAAGTTACCGCAGGGTTGATGTGGCCACCTATTCAGAAAACAACACAAACAAACAAAATCCGTTCAGAATGTCACAGTCAAAAAAAACAAACACTGGTTCACAAAGTTACGTTACGTACGCACATAGATATATATATATATATATAAAAGTAAAAAGGAAAGAAAAAGAAGATTAAGTGATCAGTTTGTTACCAGAGATACCGGCGGTGCAGTATACGAGGACAAAGATCATGCCACCGAAGGCCCAGGCGATGCCGAGAAGGCCAACACCGTCGCAGGGTCCGGTTTGTTTGTTGTTACCGATGACGGTTGCGACGGTGATGTAGAGGAAGAGGAGTGTGGCAATGAACTCGGCAATGAGAGCTCTGTAAAAGGACCAGAGCTTAATCTCAGCTAAGTCGATGAGAGGTGCTGGCGGTGGGTCTACGTAGTCTTTCCCGTGATGGCTCTGGTGCCCTTCTTCGCTCACTTCCTTCGACATTTTTCTCTCTCTCTCTCTCTCTCTCTCTATCTGAGTCGTGTTAGTTTTGTTACAGAGTGCGAAGAGGAGAGAAGGGGTTGGTCCTTTTTATGGGAAGAGAAGGGCAAAGGAGTAGTATAGTACTTGAGTTGAGTGTGGATAAGGCAAGGGCAACTTTGGAATGTTAAAAAAAAAAACATAAAACAGTAGAAGACAGACACACACTGACACAGGGAAAGTGGGACAGGGTTGAACAGCTCGACCATGTGAGAGCTAATCATCTAATGGGTAGCCACCACAACAATGTCAGCCTGGCAACCAATTCCACCCCCACACATGACACACCAACAACAACGGTCATCTCTTCTTTCATAATCTATGTCTCTCTCTCTCTACTTAATTTATTAATGAAGTAGATTATTATCTAGACTCTTCCACGTTATACGTGTATTTGCTCGTCTCAAAAGACAAAATATCTCACTATACACCCCCCAAAACAGACAAACCATATCTCACTGTCACTGAAAAGTGTTTAGCAATTAGCACGCCAAGGCAATTCTGTTGTTATGATATTAAAATGCAGTAAAAATTAAAAACATTTTACATAATTGAGATTTAAAAACGTTATCTTCACATTACTTTTAAATATACACCTTTTGCATTTTATTTTATTTTATTTTTTAGTAAAATATATCTTTTGCATTTGTTTATAAATGATAGTATGTTTATATATAAAGTATTGTATATTTAGTTATAATTAGATGATAAAGCTGTATAAGTATCTTTATAAAGCTGCTTAAAACAATTATGATACTATACATTTTTACTTTTTAGACAACGGCAGGGCAAGGGAAACCACTTCGGCTCAGTTTCCAACAAACATTGCTTTCAAAGTATCCGTTGAATAAAATGGATGAAGTGGTTATTTTCTGCTCAGTGATCTCTCACCTCAACGAATGAGTTCCGGTCTGGTTTGGACTATGGTCCCTAATGTGGCAGACGCATACGTGTCGCTCAGTACGACAACTGTTTCAAAGACACATAAAAACCATTCACCCCTTAAATAAAAAATATTAATGTTGCTCAAATTTTATACTCACTTTTTCTGACTCTGCTCATGGGATATATTTTTAATATTATCGGTGTACTACTAAATGGGAAAATTTTAAGGAAATATTAAAGAAAACAAAATTTTTTTTTAATCATTTTAGTAAATGAATATAGTGAAATCGGTAAAGCGGATGTATTAAAAGTTGTGATATTCATCGTATTACCACCCCTTTAATAAAAATTTATCTGATTGTCACGTTTTAAAAATTTTATGTCAAAATATCACGTCATAATTCTGCTGGTCTGATAAGCGAGAATGGACTGGATACATGTCAGCGTCTGAATGGTAAACCATTCTCGCTGGAGTGCCCAGCTAGGATAACAGAATGCTAACACACGTGGCAAAAATACAGACATCCAGGGAATGCTAGTACTTTTGCCACGTGTCAGCATTCTGTCATTCTAGCTGGGCAGCCCAACAAGAATGGTTGACCATTGAGACGCTGACACGTGTCCAATTCATTCCCGCTTGTCAGACCAGCGGGATTGTGACGAGACATTTTGACAATAAAATTTTTGAGGTATGGCAATCAGATAAATTTTTGCCTAAAAAGTGATAATATGATCATTGTCCCTTAAAAGTTTAGTGCTGCTTATGGCGGAACAGTGACCATTGTGCCACTGTTCCAAGACAAATATATCTAAATGTCACGCCAAAAAACAATTTAACCAAACTGCCACGAGGGCAAGTTCGCCCAGAGCAGTAGCGAACTTGGTATGTTGATGTGTTAGTTTCCTGGTGGTGTCAGAGTTCGCTTCTGACACAGGCGACCTTGGTAGCAATTAATGCCTCACTTGCCAGGCCACGTGGCTTGCATGCAGCAGAGGTCGTCTGTGTCAAAAGTAAACTCTGACACCACCAGAAAACTGACACATCAGCATACCAAGTTTTTTACTACTTTGGACAAACTTGCTCTCGTGTCAGTTTGATAAAATTATTTTTTAGCGTAGCATTTAAATAAATTTATTTTGAAACAGTGACACAATGGTTAGTGTTCCGCTTATAGTTGGGTACCTGAATTCTGAAGTTAATTCTGATATGCCAAATCACCATCAAACATGTCCTCTGCTCTGCCATCTATTAAATGCCCTGTCCTTATCCTATCAACGGCATCATTTTTTTTAAGAAGCACAAACGTCGAGTGGAGGTTCTAAGCATTCAAAACGATGCTATTTCGCTGTAATCTGCCATTTCTATTTAACTAATATTTAATACAAACAAACAAACCTTGGTTATAGAAAGATATTCTATTATTTTAAAAACTGGGCCAATAAACGAACCGGTGAAAGTCTGTGCGATTCGACTATAATTATCAAGTCAGTAACATTTAATTTTTTTTAAAGATTATATAATAAATTAATATAAGTTGATTTATAGGTAATATTATTATGAGAAAATACTTTAGATGATTTGGTTTTTTTTACAGATTAATAATGTAATTAAACATGTATTATTGCTAAAATACAGAGAATAAAAATGAAATATACAAATTTTAAACTATAAGAGAATATCAGAAATATACTATTTGATAATTGATAAAATCTATATGTTGATTCAGATTTGACTTTGTTTATTTATTATTATTGAATATAATTTAATGTTAACTTTATTTAAAAAAATAAGTTCAAAACATTTTAAAAACTAAGGTAGTAGAATGGAAATATAAAACATTATCTGGGAATGGAAAGGAGTAGAATGTGAGGGTCTGGACAAGTAGGACCTAAGATGAGTAGGAGTGGGACATGTCGCAATGGACTGACTAATCCAGAAGGATCACGTCATGTGGCATTAGCTGGCTGAGAATCCAGCTCCATCCTCGGCTCAGAAGGAGAGCATTTTGGGTTTTTGAACTAAGAAGTGCGAATTTTAAAAAAATACATTTGTTTAGTTAATTAACCAAATATTTTATCGGATTAATCTGGTAAGACATATTTTAGATGACTACGTATTTAGTTCCGTACATGATATATGCATATTTTTAACAAATTTAAATACGTCTGAATCTGGTATGTGTTTGAATACGTATGTACCAAGTGCACATTTTTGAAAAATTTAAGTACGTCTGTACCTGGTACGCGTCTGAACATATATGTATTAGGGTGCGTGTTTCTGACAATTCTAACCAGCGCAGTACCAAAATGCGTCATGTTCAAGAATGCGTTCCATGACATAGTCGTGTCACAGTCAAAAACACACATGTCTTAGGTGTGCGATTAAATACATAGCTATCTAAAACACATTTTTCTGCATTAGTCTGATAAAATATTTGATCAACAAACTAAATAGGTAGACTTTTTTTAAATTCACATTTTTTGGGTCAAAAACCCAAGCATTTTCAGTAGACGAGATACATATCATTAGATGTGATCGGATATTTTATACTATACATTTTAAAAAATATATAGTATAAAATATAAAAATATTCTTTTTTCTTCTGAAGAAAATCAACTAAAGTGATATACTCTCATTGATTCATTCTATCTACAACTGTAATACTATACAATTTTTCGCTCGGAAGCTTTTAACGTCTGTTATTATTGCTTAAATTAAGACTTTATACACGTTAAATTATGTAAATCACATTAAAATATATTAATTTCTAATTAATTTAAGTTTTTCAAATAAACAACACTTAAGATTTTTTCGCTTCCTCCCACTTTCGGATATCCAGTTGTTAAAAGTACTAAATACTACTGGTTTCGGTCCCTCCCGCTTTTAAGTGTTTCTAAAATTGCAACGAATATTGCGCCGTGACAATTCAAATCCCCCAGGAAAGTTCACAACTAATGTAAAAAAACTTAAATACAGTATGTTAAAGCCGAACATTATTTTCATGAAAATATTATAGTTAATTTGAATTTATTTTAAGAGTGCATGTTTAGAAATTAAAATTATTTTATTAATAAACAATATATATTTTCTTCTTTAATTGAATAAAAAGAAGTTTTAAATATTAACTTATTATCTAAGATATTGAATATGTTTTATTTTCTTTGATAGTTACGATTTTTAATTTATTAACTTATAACCTGGAAGCACACTTGAACTGAATTCGTGACATTATTAACACTCGTCAATAAGAAAAGACAAAAAAAAAAAAAAAAAAAAAACAGATCATTGTACACATTTAAGTTGCGTTGCGGCCATATCTTTTTAGAAACTGCTGTATTGATCTTTCTAGATCCTTCTCTGATGACCAGCTGAGAGATAGGGAATCGCGTTTTAGGCTAAGTTTATACACCAGATGATTGATGAAATAAAAGAAAAAGAAAAATATGATGAAATGGAATAGAGTAAAAATAATATATATATATTAATTATATATTTTATGATCAAATAAATAAATTTGTTATTTGATTGAATATATTAAAGTTACAGATATATCAAGGCTTATTTGATTGATTAATTCAAGATTAAAAAATAACTACGTCAAGGCTTTTTTTAGGATCTACCAATTAAGAGAAATTTTCTCATAACATAAATTTTTAGAAGAAAATCACCGAATTATGCCGAAGGGGACAAGCATGTACCTCTTTTTTTTTTGATAGACAAGCATGTACCTCTTCAAAAAACTTAGTTCATGATTAAAATGTGTAAAATAATGTTTTCAAGTTATTTGTTTGTAAAAAAATTAATGTATTCAATGATAGAAAATAATAAAACCATTAATATATCACCATTCATCGACTTAAACTTTTGGGTTAAAATTATTCTTTTATATAATATCAGAGCTGGAATGACTAAGTGGTAACGGAATTATTCCTTATCACCCCTATTTTTTTATTTTTTTTTTATAGACCCTTATCACCCCTATTTAATTAATAATTGATTAAGTATTATGAAATTTCTTAATACAGGTAGGTAAACTTATGTATTATTTACCCTTCAAATCCTATAGACTCTCATAAATAGAACATATTAGAAAAGTATAAAATCATTAATATAATCTCACCTGTCAATTTAAGTTTTTAGATTAAAATTGTTCTTGACACACTTCCTAAAATTGCAAGACCCGTCAATTATTGGAAGACACGATAGACAACAATTGCACTAGCTTCCTCAAAGACCTCCTTGACAAATTGTTTTATTATGAGAAAAAATAAAGTCACTGTTATGTAATATTAGAACACTAAATATTTAACAAAATAGCGGTAATTTAATTAGCGCATAGAAGCTGAAGATATGGGATGAGAATATATATTTGATCTTCCTGAATATCACTTTTGGGAGAGATTTAAAACTTTAATGCTAAACCTACACCGAATCAAATTAGTCGTGAAATGATAAACCGATAAAATATTTTCAAAAAAAAGATAGAACACTAAATGTTTTAAGTTTATTTGTTAGAAATATAATTCTTGATATCTCAAAAAGCTATCGGGTGTGTTTCAATATTTTTATAAGGATTGGAAATTTAGAATATTTTTTTGCAGTTCACAACTATCAATTAGACAAGTTGTGGAACAATTATTTTATGACATACCACGAATGGGGATATAATCAAACTTATTAACCTTACTCTCTAATAACAGAATTAGCAAAACTACTTAGCCCGTGCCAAGAAAATTTACCTAGTGCCAAAGACTAAATTTTATCCCTTTCAGATGCTGCATCCTAACTACGGTTGTTTACACACGTTTAAAACGTGACTAATTTTTAAAAACTAATCTGTGTCAAGGCATTGGGTGGAGCGAACGTGGCTGCGCCACTACTAGTCTCGTTCTTATTATAGGCCTATTGGTTGGGCTTATATTGTTGCCCACTTTAGTGAGTGTTACATATATCAAAGTTTAAATAAAATTATCTCTTAATTAAGTGAGTTTTATATTACATCTCATATGAATCATGACTCAGTACCTATTTGAAAGGTCATTTTTTTAGCTTTTCTTTTTCTTATAAATATAAGTTATGTCAAACAGATTTTTACAAAAGCTCTTATAATAAAAAGATCATTTTTTTTATAATGAAAAAAAAAAGTTAAAAGCCAAAACCTCCGAGGAAGGATTTTTTTTTAAAAATTGTATCGGCTTTTTTTGAAATGTGTATTTTTTTTAAATGAATAGCTTTTAAGCTAAATTTTTTATATAATTATCAAATAGCTTGTAGTTCTATTTTTTTAACTCTAGCTTCAAAATAAATTTTAGCTTAAAAAATGAGAGGTGTTAAACAGGCTCTTATCACATTTTTTATTATTTTTTTTGATTTCAACCTACAATAATTATAAAAATCCTAATAAATATTTCTCATTCTATACCGCTTTAATTATAATATTAAAAATATAGTTAAAGTGATACAGAATAATGTGTAATGACTCATATTATAATTAAACAGTACACACTTCGTTATTCATGACTCATGAGTCATGAGTAGTAAAAACAATTTACTCCGAGAGAGAACTTAAATTTTTTTATTTTTTTTTGATAACAGAACTTAAAATTTTTCTCATAATAAAGAACCTGGTTTTGATGACATTCGTGCTTAGCTGGGCTTTCATCATTTATGTGCCCCTAAATTAGGCAGTTGCTTGCAAGATCTCTTTACCAAAATAATTAATCACTGTGTTGATTGTTAACTCTAAGGAGAAGGCAGCCTCAATGTGGACCATGTAGAGCTGTCAAAAAAGCCCTAACCCAGCCATTCAGCTCTATGAAAGTCCCATCAATTTTTCAGCCTTTCGTGTAACAGTGTCATCTTAGTCCTCACCCATATGACTCATTTATTTTACATGAGGTAATTATTTTCTTTTCTCTCATTTCAGAAATGGTGTTTTTTTTTTTTTTTTAAATAATGAGTCCTACTTGGATTCTCTCTCTGTAACATGAGAGAACTACTCTCGTGTTAGAGAGTAATATTACCCTTTTATTTATTGGGTTAGGTTAGGGTTGGCTTATCGTTCTCCTTACCGTCAAACTCTAATTAAGAGCCTCTCTCACACACTCGACTCTGAGGGGAAGAAGAAAACTAGCAGGTGAGTTGATATGAGTTCAGGTTCATTTTTCATTGCTCTTCTTCCTCTTTCTCTATTTCTATTGTATGCATCTCTTCGTTCTTTCGCATATAATCAATCCCAAAAAATGGGTTTCAAATTTAAGCTTCTATTCTGTATGTACATTCGTGAGATGAGATGAGATGTTTTTTCTTTCAGTCAAGGACTCATTATTCACACCTGATTTTTATTTTTTCTTAAATTAATATGAATTTTCGAATTTGGAGATTTCAGGTTCGCGTGAATGACGAACTTACGTGGATTTCAATCAGGTATATACATACCCTTCTCTTTCTACAATTCTATTTTCTCTTTCACATTAATCTTCATCTAATGCTTTACTTTTGATGTGGGTTTCTGCTATCTCTTATTCGTTTTTCAGTCATGATTCTCCACCTGGGCTGTAAAGTGCAGTTAGTTGTAAACCACTGTTTCCACTCTCCATAATTCCTTTGTCTTCCCCATTGGCCACTCCTCTCTCTGGATTTTAAACCTAGATCAAAGGTGACGGTGATTTAAGAAAAGCGTGGGAGAAAAAAATCGAGGAACATTTGAAATCCGATGTGAAATGGTAGAAGGTTGTAAACGATGGTGACGAATTTTGATCTGTCTTCTGCATTCATCGCCGATCTCCGCCAAAATCGTTGCCTCCATGAGATGACCACACGCGACCTTCATTGATCACTCCATTCACTCTTCCTTCACCGAACACAATACGACTCTCTCTCATTTCTTCACTCGGTGAGAAGACCGTTAAGCAATGAGGGAAATCTTGTATTCACTGCTTTTTTTTTTTTCTTTTTTTTTTGTAGTAATGCATGTTAGAATCGATTGTGGCCACTGGAAAATCAGTTGCTTGGTTGCTTCTACAAGACCCCCAAAGACCAAAAAAAAAAAAAGTGTGGGTGTGTTGTGTTTTTTTTTTCTTTCGAATTCTGATTGCTATGAATTGACTTAGTTTGAGAATTTCCCTTTGTTCCTCTATCTCTCTCCGTGATTTACTCTTGGTTTGACTTTTCGTGCGAGAATATTTATGCGATTTTGAGTTTCAGCAACTACTGTTTCTTTACCCTAACTATTTTAGCTGAAAAAACAAATATGTGAAGTCAAAGTGTTGTTATTAATTAAAACATTTGATGATTTGGATGTTTGTCTATTTTAAACCGGTGCAGGACAGGATATGCACTTTCGATTACATTCGTCCGTTCTCTTTCTACAATTCTATTTTCTCTCTCTCTCTCTCTCTCTCTCTCTCTCTCTCTCTCATTAATCTTCATCTAATGCTTAACTTTTGATGTGAGTTTCTGCTATCTCTTATTCGTTTTTCTGTCATGATTCTCCACCTGTTCTGTTTTTTCCTTTGTTTTTTTAACTGCAATTCTAATCACTCCATCTTAATTGATACGAAATATGGTTTCTTTTGCTTTTAGCTTATGAGTAAGATTGATATGATAACCCCTTCGGAAAAAAAATCAATTTTGAGTAGAAGGGCAATTTGATCAGAACTTGAATTTGAGATTTGGGGTTTTTGCTTATTGTTCTATGTATGTCAATTGTGACTGAATATCTCTTGGTTGTCTTTCCAGGGTGAAATTAATATACAAGATCAGTGTTTCATCTGTCTGTGAACCCAATTCTTTGAAAGAAATCTCCTTTGAAAGTTGCTAAACCTGGCTCTGTTGAACCTGTCTATAACCCTGTATAGATCGTATTGTTGATACTGTCGGAAAGGTACCTACTCTTTTTTTTTCCTATGGAAATTTTAGTTTAGGGATAATATGAATGGACACGTAATAGTTCTTAAGTTTTGATTTTGAAGTCAGTATGAAGCATTGGCTTGGCTGTGTGGGGGATTGGGATTTTTTGTGTCTCTGGGATTACTTTTTTTTAAGTTTATTTAATTGGTTTTTTGTTTTGTCTTTGGGAAGTGGATACGAACCCTTCTAGTGAGGGCAACAAGTCTGCTTTTTAACCGGCAAGCACGTTTCAAATTTAGAGTACTGATTTTAGATGTTATTTCATCCAACAATGGATAAGCTTCAATTTCTAACTCAGCTGCCTTTTGGAAATACCAAGAACATAACAGAAAGTATTACTAAATGATTTATCAAAATCAAATGAATAAGTATTTGAAGAAATGAAATACAATATGCAACCTTTATGGATTAAGAATCCTGCTTGGAGATAAAATAATCGGGGTTTGTTTTTGCATTCCATTTTAAAAGTACAGAGGAGAATGCAATATAACGAGATGAGACAGATTTATGGTGTAACTTTCATGGGATATGTTATTTCTTGTTGGATCAAGTTTAATTCTTATTATTCAATATTAGGATTACTTGCTCTTACCTTTGGTTTGGTTGCCTTAGTATATTCAGAATTATATAAGGCATATACTATCTGTCTTAGGGATGTAAGCTTAATATTAATATTGATAATTAAGAGTTTGAGTCATTTGAGATTATTACTTAGTTCTCTCTTCCTATTCTAACTCACAAGGACTCGGCTGTGAGCAAAGAATCAAGCTATAAAATATAATAATCCAATCCTAGTATTATAACATTTATGTACAGATATGCACATGTGCATGTATTTTGTAAATGAGAAAAGGAGATTTACCAAATACTTCCCTTGACCGAAGGTAATCCGGAGATAGCATTGAATTTATTGACATATTATCTCTATGTAACCGCCATGTGTCCAATTGTGTCTCCGGTATGTAATGTAAACTGCCTTGTACTTAATTTGTTACTCCATTTACAATGCATGGTACTCACTAGTCACTACCACTTCCCAAAATTTTTACACAACAAAAGATACATCTATTACCATTCTTATTCCTCTACTATCACTTCAACCAACATTTGTTTGATTTCATAAAATACCAAGTAAATAATTCTTATTATTTTATCAAACCATCGTTGTTAGCTAATTATAAGTATTAGTTAATTTCAACTATTCGACCAAGGAATAGTATCTTCAGCTCAGAGTTATTTAATTTCAAAATTGAATTTTTTTTAGTTAGTTCTCCATAATGCTGTAACAAAGAACATGAAGAAGCAGCTTTGCTGTGTGTAGGTGATTATAGTTAACGTTTGCTAGGTTACTTTAATAATGTAACATTCATGTTCAACGTGTAGAGCTGGTCAAAAACATTCTGAAGCGTTTTCTACTACGTCATATAGGCAATTTGGTTCTTTACTCAAGAAGGAGAAGTTAATCTTGTTTTGTGTAATGTAAGTATTTGTTCGACATATTATCTCTGTAACTATTTTAAATTTTATTATGGTAATATAATTTGTTTATTATGCTTATAACTGCAGGAAAAGGATCTAAGAATTGCTTGGCAGTACAAGAAGTACTTTGGTGAGCCTCAGCTAAATATTAACACTAATAATGTTAAGCTTGTCTGTATTCTTCTCCTCATTGTTAGTTGGTGAATATCATTGTGTTTTTGTTACTTCATTTGTGCTATTCGACCTTGGATTCTCAGTTTCAATAATACCATAGCAGTGTCATAGACTCATAGTCATAGACCCCCTTAGCCATCTCAGTTTCCTCTGCATTACTATAAAATCTGTTTTCGTTAGTGTTCCAATAATCTATGAGAATATGCTGTCACTTTTTTTTTTATGAGAAAATGTTGCTCCTTAATCTATTTTTAATGCAGGTAACAGGTAAGGACTTTTGACATACATTGCTATATCAAATATGAATTTTTTTTTAAACAATAAAATACATATTAAATTTTTGGAAGGCCCAGGGGCTAGCCCTAACCCTTAGGGCTTTTGGCCCATGTGGGCCTATATCATTGTGGGCTTTTTGGCCCTAACCCACGCGGGCTAGGGCTAAATGGGCCGGGCTGACCCATTTTGACAGGTCTAGTTTCTATGCTTAGACAAATATTTGAGTGTTTTCAAACTTGCTATCTAAGGCTGCTTAATACTTTAAATAATGGTATTCATCACATACATTTATATTTTTCTTCCAACTTCTCCAGTGCATGACATATTAGTATTTCACCTTGAAAGGTGTATGCCTTTCAAATGGATTATTACCTGTATGTTTCATCCAACACACCTCGAATTTCCTCTTTGAAATGATGAGTAATACCCAACCTTTCAAGACTGTCAACCATATAGAGATGGGCATATATATCCAGAGGATAAACTGTTGGAACTGATTTTTTATTTTTTTTTAAAAAAAAAGGCCAATTAATGATAAAAATAATTGTAAATAGAAGTAATTTCAGAGAAACATAAGTCTAAAAAGTGAAAACATACCTGCATTACCAAACTTTTCTAATACTGATTGGAGGTAATTAAGACAGTCATTATTCTTAAGGTGCTGAAAAGCAGCTGCTGTTGTAGCAGGTGAATTAAACAAAGATCCATTTTTTCTTTGATACTTCATGATTGTTTTCCAGTCCTGTGACTTCAGCATTCCTTCTGAAACATATGCTAGATATGCTCTCCACCCTTCTGAGTTGTTTTGACTGCCCCTAAGTTCAGACAAATGGACTTAAAGTGGTCAGTTCAGGGAATTCAGGCAAAGTCGAAAATAAGATTTTTCTACCTTCAAATTCTTAGCATCTATAAATTGCTAAAAGGATCTAAAAAATCAGAAACATTTCAATGACAGGAAAAATGTTGAAATATATATAAGAGAAGACCAAAATACTACCTTTGGAGCTCTATTTCTTTCTTCTGGATCATTGATTCTAAGCTTGCAGCTCCAATTGGAAGGTTAATGCCCAAAATTTGTGCATATTCAATCAAAGAAGGAAAAAGTATATCAAATCCTATGGGAGGGCGTTGCTTCTCATCATTGATTGAAGTAATGTTTGACTCAATGAATTCAAGACCTGCAGGAATATCAGGACAATGCATTCATATAAACAGCGCAGGATGTGATAGCTAGGAGAAATTTAGGTAGTGTTTGGTAGGAGAGTTCACAAAAGATACCCATGCATCTGAGTTTGGTATTTTGTGTAGTCCATGTTTGGTACAGAGTATTCAAATATTTTCCTAGCAAACTTATTTGCCTAGCCTTTGAAAAATGTTTATAAAATGGGATAAAAGCACTGTTCTCAAATACTACAACATCCAAGGTGGTATTTGTAGTTAACCGGCTAGATGGCACGGAGATCAAGAGATTAACAGTGTTCTTTGATGTTGCAACCAATGTTGAAGACACACTCATTCATACTTTATACAAGGGCTATTCACATTCAAAAAGTACAAAAAGGTTATTTTACTCTTTTTAACCCATTCTCCTATCAATATTTAATCTTCAACCAAATATAGACTCAAAAAATTTAACTCAATTTTTCCGGTAATATTTCGTCGTACTAAACAATTTTTTTTTAGCTTTCCTACCAAACTCACTTTCCCACCATATTCCTAATAATTGTATTTCCCTGCTACCTTTGTTAATTTGATCTTCACCAGTACTCCATTGCTTTAACGCAAGGATACATGCTAAGGTAGATAAGAGAGCATCGTTCATTAGAGCTGTCAAAAAGGCCCTAACCCCATGGGCCACCCCTTGAGCCCTCATTTTCAACCCTCCCGATTTTTAGCCCTCATATAGTAGGTTTACTTTTCGGCCCATTTTTTTTGGCCCTCGTTCTTTTGGGGTTACAGAAGGGTCAACCGCGGGCCAGCCCTTTATCGAAACCTAATTTCTCTTTGTCGTCGATCTTCTTCTCCACGAGCCATTTTTTCTTCTTCTTCTCTTAGTTCTTCTTCACAAAGGTTGTTCGACTCTCTTCTGATTTCTTCTTGCTTCAACTAGTTCTTCTTCTTCTTCTTCTTTACAAAGGTACGGTTTCCGTTCACAAGTTTTTTTTCTCCTCAATGGCTTCATATGTTTTTCTTAGGATTTTTCTGCTTGCTTCATATGTTATCATGGGGTGTTTGCCCTTTAAATTTGAAATTTCATCTGGGTCTTTTTTTTTATCAATTTAAATTGTTCTATCGAGTTTTGAATTTTTCTTTGATTTTGTGGATTTGTTTGCAGAGGTTGATATTCCAGCTTTGCAAGGGTGTTGTTTTCTGCCACTATCATCGAATCTTGCACAAGTATTTGTTGTTTTGAAGGACCGATGAGATTTTTGTATTCTCATCAACTATTTGGTATTTTTTTTTTTGTTCAAACTGATATGCTCTTGTTGCCTTGGTTCTAAAAATTTTAACGATGGTACTGGGTGATGAGTATTTTCATTACATGAACATAATGTATTAACATAAAAATGCAATACTTACCATTTAGTATGTTCCTTTTCTCGTAAATCCTTCTCCGATGCATCTACCTTCTTCGGAAGTTCTGCATCTTCACCATCTTCTATGTGTTTCAAGACATTTAATTGGATACTACTTTGGTGCTATACCCCATTCCCAGTTAAGGAATTCAGTGTTACTACTCTAACGAAGTTAGATTTAGTTGTTTTCCCTGTGCTAGTTCTCGTTTACATTTAGAAAATTGGTTTCTATTTCTGGTTTGGCTTTTTTTCCGCACTGTATCGAGTTTAATTGATTCTGGGTGTAAATGGCTAGATCTAGATGATAAGGGAGATACATAGCTTTTCCCATACCACATGATTTTATTTTAGTTTTGATTATTTTTATTACCTTTATGGCCAAGTCTAACCGTGAGAGCTTTTCAAAGTAACTTTGTTTGGTAAATGATGTAGATGGTGATCATTTCTTCCCATCTTTTCTTATTTTGGGAGCAATTGTTAACAGTAACATTTTTTCTTGAAAAGAGTATTGTGTTTATCATGTATTTTCTAGTGCCTTGTGGAGTAACTTGAGTGCGGGTTCAAGCTCATTCATTGATTCATAGATAGCTGAAACATTAGTAAGACCAGTAGCAATCTCTTCTGGAGGGACCCCAGGCATGGGATTCTCATAGATTCTAAGTGCACTCTCACAAAATAACTTTGATTCCCTTATCTTCAGCAAACAATAAGGTATCTCCATTTAATATACCAGTAGCTTTAGCATTGTTACTCCATTTATTTGTGACATTATATAGGGCTTGTTAAAACCATGATGTGTTCACTTGCTACAACTTGATGGATCATCAGCTGCTGAGGAGAATTCCCTCTGTTTTGTGCTTATATCTCCTTTAATATAACCAAACAATAAGAGAACTTAGTTAATTGAAATTTGTTGTTTATCACATAATCGAGGTAAAATGTTTTTGGAATTTAAAATCTCGCACAAGCATGGTATGTTTAAAACCTGCTTAAAGCGTAGGGAGCCTTCGTTCATCAAGACTATCTTGGGAGCCTCAGGTTAAAGTTTATATAAATATAAGAAGCTATATATAAATACTTTATCTTTTTCCCTAAACAGAATAATCGTGCAAAGCCTTCTGTTAGTGTACATATAGAAAAGGGTGATTAGTGACCTACCCAAGTTCTGTTAATCCATCTCTAAATTTTGGAATGACAAGAACATGAACTGGAGCCTCTGGATTGATGTCCCGAAATGCTAGGACCTTTTCATCTTCGTATACAACGATTGAAGGGATTTCCTTATTTATGATCTTGTCAAATCTGCAAAGAAGAAAATTAATATCATTGTGTGTGTGACTGTGTGTGTGTGAGAGAGAGAGATTTCCTTATTTAGTCTTATACAATTCCAGTGATTCTTTACATTTAAGATCAACTCTATCTTCAACATCGTTATGTGTGTGTGTTAGAGAGAATTGGTGGGGTATTTTGGAAAATTTCTACCTTGCAATCAGATTGGTGCTCCCTTTTATTTTGTGACTGTGTTTAATAATGACATTTTACTAAAAAAATAGACTATGTCTCATTTAAAATATTTCAATGTTCTTTGATTTTGAAGTATCTCCAACTTTGTTAGTGATATTGTTTACAAATATCTTTCAGAATGATAAGCATTCAATGACTTTAAAATGACAATATTGAGATAATGTTAAACCCGATACATTGTTGGAGCTCCACTATCAGCATTGACAGCAGCTGCTTTGGCTGCAGCTTGTTCATTGTTAGCGGCTAAAGCATAATAGCAATTACTTTTGTAATGCTTGTGGTTTATAATTGCATAAAAGTGGGGCACAATGAGTTAACATATTACGAAAATAGCTATTAAAAGACTAATATGAAATTTGGAGATGTCTTTCAGTTTCATCCCTTCCTCTATCCCCATCCCATGATCTCCTTCTCCAGACATGTCTTTACCAGTCACTCTCACTTTCTTTCTTATTAATTAAATAAATGGAGATTGCTTGTTTTTGCTGGAGATGTTCAACTTGTATTTTGCACTGGTTTTTATAGGCACACAAGTCGGATCTTGATACCTTCATTCATTTCTATACGTATTATTCTATCATCAATAATTGTACTATTTTATTTTAAAGCCGCGCCACCCTCAACAGGTCTATAGTTGACTTTTTTAAGTTCTTGTGAATACATTTGTCAGTGTACTCATATTTTCAATGGTGGTTGATAGTGTAAGATTTATTGATTCCATTATATCGGTTTTGCTGCGTCATTGATGTATTATTTACTTCGTCGAGACAAAGACCATGTACAGTAGTATTAAAACTTGGAATATTTATTTTGTTTTGATTTACCTTGGACTATTATTGTTCATTGTTGCTCATGCTGACCATTATTGATGTTATGTCATGCATGCTGGTCCTATAAAATAAACCATGAAATATTCCAAGTTTGTTGGTGCTATAAAAACTTCATTCAAATTATTTTCGGAAAGTACTAGTAGATTCACTTTATGCCAATTTTATTCACTGCAGTCCATTGATGAAAGTCCACGTATTACAAGTGATGCATAGGTATAAATGGTTCAAACTTCAAAGGGTCCTCCATATTGTGACATTATTTCTGTTTCTATTGAAGGAATGAATTATTAGTGTTTTCACTTTTCAATTCGCAGGGAACAGTGTTGATTACACCTTGCATGTGGAATTGTTCAAAACGACCTTGTTATTTATTTGAAACAATTTTGAAACAATTTGCGAAGTACCACAATCCAGAGGAAACTGGATAAAATTCTATAGGAAAAAGACACACAAGCTGATTCTTTGAAACAATTTTCTTGGATGGGGCTTGACAAAACTGCTGAGCTTGTCTTGAAGGATATAATTTGCAGTTACTATGTTACCTTTTTTATGATTGTTTATTTTTTATACCATTATAGATTTTCCTCATTGATGAGAATTTTTGGTGTCCTTGATAGAGGCAGGGAAAATGCATTAAATATTACTTGGTGAATTGTTTGTTAGTGATGGATCTTTACAATAATATACAGGAGAAAATTGAATTGATGACTCAGTATTTTGTTAAAATTATTTGGAAAGTGCCAGGAAAAGACCGAATGTTTCTGCACTGTTTAAGTTTTTTTTTTTTTTTTTTGACTAATTTAATGACAGTGTTTAATGGTTCTAATTCTAAGTATGGAGGGGTGAATTTGGATTTGTATTTGGTTCATGTTTGATTTCATGTTATCAAAGAGAAAACTATTTTTTTTGGCCCGCGGGCTGGTCCTAACCCATTGGGTTATGTGATTTTTTGGCCCGTGCGGGCTATTTAATATGCGGGCTTTTTGGCCCTGCGGGCTTTTTAGCCCTGGCTCGCGTGAGCTAGGGCCTAACGGGCCGGGGTGGCCCCTTTTAAGTCCTTGTTTTGCCTGTTGCTGCAAACAAGGTTAAAAAGTATATTTTTTTAATCTTGGATTTGGTATAGCTGACACTGCAAGTGGTTCCCTTGGAATGATGATTTGATGTTTTCGAAGTTTAATATTCTGTTTCAGTGGCAAAACTCTTGAACTTTTATTTATTTATTTATTCTTTGTATTATTCTGTTAACTTTTGCTGAGTTTCATAACTTGGTGTACATGTCATACATTTTATTTTTGGTATTAGAACTTATTTTTGGTCTGAGAACTTATTTTTGGCGTGCCTGTTCATTGTTGTGGGGTTATGATGAAGGATGCATGGAAGTGTTGACTTTTGCTTGGCTTATATAAGGTTTGGCAGTTATGCTTAGGGTATTAATTTGTTGTGTAATTTGTGATTTCTTGCGTTTCCTATCTGTTCCTCATTCTTATATTTCCATTTTGTTAAGCTTTGACTTCGAGTGGTTTCTAAATTCTTCAAGAACTGTTTATTTCTATGAAATCATCCATGACATGAGAATATGCATAGTGTTGGGTCCATCTTTCTTTAAAATTTAGTAATTTACTTTAGACAAACATGCAATTTTCAGGACTCTTGCACAACTTTTTCTTTCCGATTCTGCCATTGTAGTATTTGATTTTGCTGGTTTTCTAATGATGTTAGTTGAAAGTTTAATTCATATAAGATAAACAGTATTTCAACAAGCTTTGGATGATGATATTTAAACAAAATGTTTTGTTTTGTTCTGGTTTCAGGATTTTATTTACTGGAATAGGAGTTTACAATGTGTGTTATACTGGACTGATTTTCCATTCTGAGATATAGCAACCTTACAAGCCAAGAATGAACTTACTTTTAAGAATAAGGCATTATTTACCGAATGGTTTATATAGACAGCCTTTTCATCGAACCTTGGTAGGGCTTAATGCTAGTAATGTAAAAGTATTTTCAAGAAATCTTGGTCAAGCTGCAAGGAAAGAGGAGGAGGAGGAGGATGTCGAGGAAGTGGAAATCGACCAAAGAAGTCTCCCAGCTGATTTTGATCCTGCAACATTTGATCCTACTGAGCACCGTAGCCCTCCATCAGAAAGAGTTTTCAGGCTTGTTGATGAAATGGCATCTCTTACGCTAGCCGAAGCTGCCGAATTGGGTCTCATTCTGATGAAGAAAATGGGGATTAAGGAGTTGCCTAACGTGGGGTTTATGAAACCCGGAGCTGCGAGTTTGGCCGGAATGGCAACAAAAGCACCAGCAGCAGCCAAGGAGGAGCAAAAGCCAGAAAAAACTGTATTTGAATTGAAACTGGAGTCCTATGAAGCGGCTTCGAAAATTAAAGTCATTAAGGAGGTTCGCGGTTTTACTGATTTAGGTTTGAAGGAGGCAAAGGATTTGGTTGAAAAAACACCTTCTATTATTAAGAAAGGTGTTTCAAAGGAAGAAGGAGAACAGATAATAGAGAAAATGAAAGCTCTTGGTGCAAAAGTTGTTCTGGAATGAAGTGATGTATGTTGTTTCTTGGAAAGATGTTTCTTCCAGTATTCAAAATTTTTACAAGTTACCTGAAATTTTGAAAATTTCATGTTGTTGGCCAAGGATACCACAAATTTTGCTGGTGTTGTGTTTCAAGTTGTGCTCATTTTTTAGCATAAACCGAAAATTTGATTTTTTGCAGCTATGAAACATTATCCTTCGTGTCCTTCTATATTGAATAAAAGTAGTATTCCTAGTTCTGATATTCATTTGCATACATATTCAGTAACATTACTAAATACAAGCAAATTAGTGTTTTCTATAACTTTTTTTTTATCATTTGAATTTTGGTGCACTTAAAGCTTTTCCTTTGTGACCAAGAGGTCATGGTTACTCTTTATTTATCCAAGAAATAGCCTCCGTGCAAAGATACAAGAATAAGGCTACCTACACGTATATGGATTTTCTTCACTTCTATTGAGCCAGTGAACCTTCATGCTATAGGACCTTACAAGAGAAGCATCAACCGAGGGAACGATCACCACTTTTTGAATTGGTAAAGTGTCGAGCTCTAGCATTGGTTTTTCTCTTGATTGGTAATGCTTAACTCACGAGTAATAACTGAAAATTGAAAGTGAGCTCTCGCATAATATTATTTCTTGGTGACAAAATAACATGATTTCAGCTTCTTCCTTTGAAAATGAGGATAACTGGACCTGTAGCCGTTGTGGAAGTTTCACCAACCACAGTCTGACTCAACTTTTTATAAACTAGGATAAATAGGAGAATTACAATGAAAGATCAATCTTTGCATGAATTTGAAATATTGATTTATACCTCTAATCCTCCGTTACTTACGGTTATGCTCGGTTGGATGCAATGGTTTTGAGAGAGTGAAAATAAGAGTGAGAATGGAATGAAATATAATGTAAATATTTATTTTTTTTGTTTAATATAGGTATGAAGGGAAATTGATTACATTCTATTTTTATGTTTGATAGATTATAATTGTAAAAACAAATATAACAGGTCCTGTTAATGAATGAATTAAGAATACTTGTTACAGAATTAAAAAAAAAATTAATCAAAACTATAATCATTAATACATAAAAAAATTGAATAATTTTTTAAAAAATTTATATCTTCAATAAATATTTCAAAGGCATTAATTAAAATATGATCATTTGCATTCAGAAGTAATTCTTGAATAAGGTCTAATATATTTACTATAATCAATCATCAGCATATGTAAAAATAAAAATGAGTATATTTCTAATATGGTACATACAATCTTTTATATATATCGAATTATCAACTATTAATTTGATTGCATATGGTATAAAGCGTTTGCCAGAGAAATTTTCATACCGTCAAAACTAAACGCCAAATGAAAGAAGATTTTGGTCAAAGGGCAAAGATTGATAAAAAGGCACTGCGGGAAAGTTGGCCCACTCCCAAAGTTATAAACTTGTATGGGCTTGGATTGGGAATCGTAGACATCCGTCATAGAAGGATGTCATTGTTGTCTTTAACTTCAATAAATAAATAATGACTTGTATAACTAATATAGGTAACATTATATGACACCAAATAAGAGAGGTATTTCAATCTAAAAGTACATAAAAAAAAAATTCAAATTCTTTTTTATATGTTTGCTTCTTTGTCATTTTAATTTTCAAGCCATCAATTTCAAGAACTACTGTACTAGTGTTGTATGCATTTTTATTTTATTTTTATTTTTGGATACCAGAGTTGTATTCACTTGACCCTTGTGTTCTTTACTTCAATCCTTTCTACAAAATATATAAGAACATTGGAGGCAGATCAAAGAGGAGCACCCAAAGCACACTATCTTCCCTGTGCTTGCAAAGCTGTGGCACAAAAGCAACACAGCAATCTGACTCTGAAAATACTGACCCATATTTGATTTCGTTAATAATGCTGTGTATCACAATTAACATCATTATTAAAATTTTGATAAATAATTAACGGGATCATAGGCTTAGCATCAACATGGCACTCGGCTATTTCGGATACCTTGGTAATCAAAGAAGTGCATTGGTTCCTTCTTCCATGGCCCAATTTGGCAAGTTAAAAAGAAGAAAAACATCAAATGATACAAATTAATTTAAAGACCTATAACTTATTGCCTTAAGTTTTTAGGTGAGTTGATTGTTTTTTATGGTATCAGAGCTAAGGTGATCAAAGGAACATAAGATCAATCCTCACCGCTTCCATTTTCTAGTGAAATCAAATCAACATAAGATGGAACAAAAAAATTGACCTGTGTGAGAAGGTATGTTATAGAAATATAATATAAAACTATTACAGGCACATCACTTACCAACTTAAACTTTTAGGTGAGCTGATTGCTTTACATTACTATAATTTACCAACAAAATAAACTACCTAACATATAACATCATTTCAAAATGAAAGTTCAGTATTTGCTAAAAAAAATTAATCTCGCCCATTGAGGTGCATGCTGTTAGTTTTTCAATTTGTGATGTGTTGTTCTAAATAGGCGTACAATTAAGTTATTAAAATTCATAAAATTTATGGCAGATAAAGTACAACCAAAGGAGACTGTAGAGTTTGGATACCTAACATTGTCATATCAAATAGAATCAAATTTGAATGCACTACGAGTGTTAAAAAAAATTGCACATTATTATCCAATGATGTGTTGTCACATCATTTAATAAGTTTGTAAATTATTTAATGAATCTGACAACATATGAAATTATTTCTGATACTGCATTTAAATTAAACTATCAAATATGGGAATCCTAATAACTAAACATGTTATACATAATATCTTATCTACATATTCTCATAAGATTCCCGCGTATCAAAATATGTCCTACACGTGAGAGTAAAGCCTGCTGCAAGGAACGTGTGGAATTCTTTTCTTTTGTACACATGAAAGATTCAAAGAGGATTTAGGGGTAATGCTGTAACCTGGGCCAGCCCAGTTGAAGAGAGAGTGTGAGCATGGGCGCTATCAATAATCATTGCAATAAAAAAACTCAACTAATAATACGTATTGAAAATATATTGTTGAAGTTGTGCAATTGGAAAGTACCTATACAATTCTGTAAGCACTTACTGTTATATCTGGAAAGAGCCTGTCTGCAATGATTTTGTTTGCTTGTTCCCTCTTTTCGTCACTTTGCTTTGAAGATATACAATATGAAAGGCGAGGGGTGTAAAGTTAACAGCAGTTGAATAGGATGCGAGGACGTTATGTATTCTTAAAAGGTGTCACAATCCAATGTATCTGCAAGGAAGAAAATTACAGCCAAACAATATAGTCAATTGTTTGTTGGGTGTACCATGAACTTTTTCCGGTATAAACTATAAAGCAGCATGCAACAGAGTCTTACAATGTTGTTTTCGGGTTTTTTCCAATAAAATCCTTGAATAGCAATGACGGCCAAGTTTGAAGATACAAGGACAAATATACTCAAGGAGTGCTTTCCCATCCACTCAAACACAGTTGTCAAACGCCTGTGACCATGGAAATCTACCTGCAGTGGAGAAAATGTATTACAACTTGGTCAAATTGGGTTCGTTCCAAATTAAAATGATCCCTACAAAGAATGGAAACGACAAACCTTTGACATCAGAAAATGGAGAGTCATGCAAAAATAAATGTTACAAAACACAGTGCATACGGTAGGAATAATGTAATGAAAGATAATGACCAAAGAACGTTGTATAGAAGCCAAAACTAAACTCTGATCAATGGCACAATACTCTACATTATATATAAGCCATTAGGAATAAGCTAGTGGTCAAAAGTTTGATAATTTGTTGGAGGTCATAGGTTTAAATCCCCATGTTGTCATTGTACTAAAATAAAAAACAGGTATTGTATATAATATCTATCTGTAGACAGCTTTCTCTTGTCACAACACTTAGAACTAACCAGAACGTATAAAGCGATGAATGTGAGACCAGAAGCTGCAGATGTTAGTAGCGTATAACTGACTGTGTACAGAGATTTGTTCAGAGGAATGCCTGAAATGAAAAAATGTAAAAAATCAACGTAACTTTTTCAATGGCATCAATGAACGTAGAAAGAAGTTGATTTGCTAAAAACAAAAAAATATGATTATGAATAGAAAATGCTTGAACTATTATCAATTAGTAACTTCTAGTAGGTATTCCACAAACTGAAGATACCCCCAGACAGTTTACAGCACACACCTACTAAGGCTAGGAACAATCCAAGACCCAAAAATGAAACTGAAAACCACAGCCAGTTGTCTAGGCGCCCTTTGTGATCCTACAGTACAAGATAGAGAAAAGTAAAAGGTCAGCTCCACCAGACAGTCAACAAGAAAATTTCAAGCCACAATTTACAACGGATATGGGAGGATTCAGTGCCAAAATAAGCTACAAAGGGAAGTGTACTATTAGACCACAGAGTTAAGATTTTAAAGAACTCATATCTTTGAGAACACTAAAATTTCACAGGCCATTGAGGTTCAGTAAACTTGATATATGATCTCACCTGTAGATGGGCAAGAACATGACCATATTGAAGTCCAATTATGCATGAAACTGCAGCTGTTATGGAGCTGTGAACAAGTAAAACTAACACAACTTAAATACTAATTAAAGCATACAATCAACATATAAGTTGCTGTTAAATAAATATATTTTGCCAAACTATCAATGAAAAATCATAAAAGAATGTAAGCATTGGGATAAATGAATAGATTATATCAATATCTGCTATTTATTCAGTAGAAAAGGAGCCTTTTAGGTCTTTCAATCAATCATGAAACCTAGATTACGGTTGAAAGAATCAATGCATGAAGTGATCACATCATTAAGCACAATAGATAACACACAAACATGAGATCAGTCAGGTACGACAGTTCCAGAAAATAAGGACCTCTAGGTGAACATCAACTGAAAGCACATCACAACTCGGTCTTTCCAAAAGTAGAAGCCTTTTAAAACTCTAATGAAAACAAAGTGTATGTTAAAGAAAGATGCCTGCAAAAGTAATTGAAGTAAATACTTAGGTATGTTGATTGTCCCAACCAAGGACTCCTCCATCAAGGAGTTTGGTAAAGTTACTTTTAGCATAAATCAAACAAGGACCTCATTCTTTTTGGTAGGGAGTTTAGAAGGAAAAATCAAGCAGGTTTTATTTGGAACAATATCACTTGGACCCTGTTATATTGTTTCAATAACCAGTAATGGAATACTGCTTAACGGAGATTTCTAGGAGGTACATCTACTAAAGCTTCCAGATCAAGTGTGACACGAATCTGATTGCATTTAACCAGCATGCTATAAGCTTTATTTTACTTTTACAAAGTGTAATTCCATGAGATCACTGATCAGAAGAGAGATCACGTTAATCTGCAAAAGAAGCTTTAAATTGCACCCAGCATACCTGTCTAAGAACTTAACAAGATAAAAGTGCAACTCAACATGAAGGAAGTTAGCTATGGAATCCCAGGGAAAAATCAAAAGTTTCGACTGGTCACCTTAAAATGCCTTCTGGATCAAAAGGAGCATGACACCATGAAGGTGAACTATCTGAAACTTGGCCCTTAGACATATTGCATTCCTGGAAGTTAGATCATCAATAAAGCATTAATGTGTCAAATTATGCTGTAAAGCATCGAGCAAAGAAATGGGATCAACTACAAGATACCTGAAGATTTCTGTAAACAGGCTTTCTGTACAGATGGTCAAGACCAAGAATATAGCGATCAATCATTCCGGCAGAATTACAGGCAGGTCCAAGATCACCTCTCACCGAACAATTCACCTGATATTGAATTGAGAACATTGCAAGCATTATGAATTAAATATTTTGAATTTGATTAGAAGTACATTTTCAAAAATGAACGCGCTCAGGTAAACTTTTTGACAATGAATAATAAGCATTGGACAACTATCATAGAGAGTCAAATTTAATAAGAATTCAAATTTTGAAGGCAACAGTAGGAAAGCGTGAATATTACTATTAGAGACAATCGCTGTAGCATGAACCGTATGTACAGTTTCACACTAACCTTAAAACAGGTGCCCAGGACTAGCAAGTATTTCAATATTAATAAGCATTCAGGTCAAATCCAAAACAAAAATTGAAGCACATAAAAGATAGCAAAGTGCCGGTGAGGGGTGCTGAGCCTGCTCTTACCGTGTAAATATTGCCACCATCAATTGGAGGCAAAGAAGAGGCTGAGGCCAATACATCAAACTGCCAATCTGGAACATATAGACCATACAATAATCCCGAGTAAAGTGCCAACAATATTATCATAATAAACCTGCATAAAAATAATTTGTAAAATTAAGAGGAAAGGAAAACTACATAAAAGAAATATGAATATATTGTTTGCAATACTCAGTGAATAATACTATAATTTGCTAATTTAAGTGGATGTAAAATGGAATAATCCTGTTATTTAAATGTAGTTAATTTTCTACTAACATCTTTGGGTTGGGATTTTGGACTTCGGTGAGTGCCAAGCTAGATCTAAGTTTTACTTTTGAACATCCAGCGGCAGCAAATAGTTATCTGAATTATCACATTGATTCTACTGATCAAGGTTGATTTTGTTTTGAGACAATCTTAATTGAGCAGATAAAGACACGAGAGCTCTCATATTTAATATTATGGAAAACAAAAATGACGTGAAAACCTTACCAATGCCAGTAATAACTTTTGATGAAACCTAATTCTTTCCCTCGCGGAGCTGGAAACCAGATCTCACATAAAGCTGCAACAATGTATCCAATAGATATCCTCTGGATTCATAGATCACCATATCCTAATTATATTAGTTACATTTCTTTGTACAGTCAACTTAGCATGAAAAGTGTAAAGTAGTGAAAACACTATCAAAATGTTTATGTAAATGACGGATGTACCTGTAAAATGCCCATCCACCGTATTCTTTCAATGTCAACACCAAAAGTCAAGGAAGTTATTCCGTGAAAATAACCACCTGAAATGAATAAATTATGTTTATTTAGCTGATGAAACTAGAATGACAAAAACACTTGGTTGGTGTAAAGAACCAATTCAACCCAAAAGCTTAAGCTTATGAGCGAGGGCCTTTTTAATAAGCTTATGAATGAGGTTCTTTACAGTTGGATACTACAGAAAATTTGGGTAAACAAGGTTTGATTCCATCAAAATGTATTCCACAAATTCTTATATACACACACACACACACACACACACAATTTAGTTGAGCTTATTAATGTTGTGTTGTACAAATCAATGGCAGAGGCTAAGAAGATATTACTACCTTGAAGAACAATACCAAGAATAAAGAGTTTCACTGCTCTAAGTAAGGCTTTCCATGTAGCTTCTCTTCTCTGCGGCCTTCTCTGACGTTTTATTAGGGGGAAAAAGAAAGAAAAAGGGTGAAGAAGAAGCCTTTAATTAATTATATTAGGTACATGGATACTGCTTCTTTCAAAATGCTATGTTGAAGAGTAATTTTATCAAACATAATTAGAAAAAGTAGCATTAACAACAATAGTTACCTTATATGTAAGAGCAAGGGAAATTCCAGCAACAAAGAGAAAAAATGGGAGGACGAAATCAGCCAAACGAAGACCATTCCAGGGGGCATGGGAAATGATGGGGAAGATGGAGCCACCGTAATCAACCAATATCATCAGCTGAAAACAGTACCAAATAGCTTTATGTATATGTTTAAGCAAACTTAAAGAAATCATCGATAAACTCATTTTTCCTACAAGCAGGAGATCTTTATTCATTTATTAATTTCAATTTCAATTTCTTAGCAAATAAAACATACTTGTTGACCAGAGAGAGAGAGAAGGAGAGAGAGAGTTACAAAGACAGAGAAGCCACGGAAGACGTCAACGGAAGCGACTCGGGTGGTTCTGCCGGTTTGAAACTGAGTTGGCTCGGAATCGTTGAGCAGCAGGGGCTGCGGATCAGCCATTCTATTTCTTCTCACAAAATTATCCGAAATGTACTCCGTTGAAGTACGGATTGTGTTTCCACTGATCAATCTGAGCTGGATTGCAACAAAACAAATGGTACCAAAACTCGATGATGCTTTTTCTTTCCTTTTCTTTTCTTTTCTTTTTCCTTTTTTTTTTAGTATGGTTTGATAAGCCAGCGTAAGAACCTAGAAATATGCTATTCGCTTCTGACAGCATGGCGCAACCTGATTGGATCCCTTCATGTTAGTGATTAACACCAATTATGTCTTGTTGCCACAGAAAATCAGGAAGTATTTAATTCATGTCTTTTGCAACCTTGTTTGAATCTTTTTTAGACATTTCAAATCGGACTAGTGTATGGCTAATGTCACAGCCACTGAGAATGTGATATTGGAAATTTGGAACATATAGAAATAGAACCAATGGCATCGAGGGCTATTTGCTAATGGACAGGGCTAAATCGATATGTGGCAGTGTGAGTGTGAAACTGTGTACTGCGTGCCATAATCTCATCTGAATATGAGACATTACATCATTCCAGAAGGAATAAGTATTTTTAGAATTATAAAATATTTGTGACTTTTGTTTTGATAAATTTAATGTCTCCTCGTCAGTTAATAGTTCATACAGAATCAAATTTGTCTAGGGACTTGTTTCACTAGTATCCCAGGGGTACTAGTGTCTAGTTGAGTAACATTTAATATTTTTAATTAATTAAAATTTTATAACAAATATTTTTTAGTTCATACTATATAAAATTGTGTTTTTTTTTTAACTTAATAGTCGTCATTTTAGTTTTTTTAACCATTGTCCTAAAAGTCTTTATTATGAGGGTGATATGGGGAATTGATAAAGTTTTTTTTTTGTGATCAAAAGTTTACGTGATGGAATTTATAAAATGTGAAAGAATCCGTTTACAAATTTTTTTGAATTTTTTTTTACAGATTATGCTATGTTCTCCCGGAAGAACATAGTGTAATTTGTAAGAGTTTATAAACAAAAAAATTTGTAAATATAATATGTCTCGTGTAAAATGGCCCTACATTGGAAAGTGAGAGTTTTGCGAGGTGTGCTTTTTTTTTAATTATCTTTTTACCCTAAAAGTGTTTATCAGCGAAACATAATTTTAAATGCATTTTATTTATGGGAAAAAGTATCTAATGTTACTTTAGACAATTTTGTCTAATGTTCACCAAAACGACGTCGTTTTGATATTGAAAAATTAAAAAATTAGAATGATAAATACTATTATAACCCTGAAACAAATTAAAATTACAAATACACCATGATTTCCGTCCCAAAACAACGTCGTTTTAGCGAACATTAGATAAAGTTATCTAAAGTAACATTAGAAAAAACGAACCCTTTATTTATAACATTTATCTTACAATACATTATGTAATGTGTTTTTATGGTTATATAGATTAATATTATTACCATCCTGATTAATTATCTTTTATATTCAGTGAGAGGAGTAATTAATGAAAAGAGCAAATTTTGAATATTCAATATGCATAAATAGTTATGACTAGAAACTATTTATAAATCATACGATCACTTAAAAAATTACAAAACTTTATATTTTTTTATTTCAATTATTTATATAAGACCTAACTAATATTGAATCAGTCAATTATATCATGGTCTACAATTGAGGCAGAAAATTAAAATCCAAAATCGCATCAATGAATATTTTCATTCGAGTTTGTTGAACATGAAAGGAGAGAATCCGTGATGAAGATAATAATGAGAAACGAAAGGATTACTTGAACTATTGCCGATTTAACATTTCGAAAGAGAAAATACTCATTTAATTAAGGCTTTAATAGCTCTCGGCAAATCAGAAAATTTACAGTTCGGTTCCGTATCTTGAAAGGTTCTGTATCTTGGAATTTTTTTTTTTTTTAATTTCAAGATCCATCTCCGTGTGTTATGTAAATATATTTGCTGCAAGTTTTTCCATTAGCAGTGACAACAGAAATGACTAACCCTTTAATTAATCTCAGATTTTCTTTGTGAATAAATGTAACTGTCGAGCAGCTTTAGCATCTTTAGCTAAAGACGCCGCCACAAGAACAAATCCCCTGCTTCTTTCGGTATTTTATCATAAATAACATGCCAAAAGCCAATAATTTTGCTTGGTTACAGTTTGGTTTCTTTGCTCGCAAGGGGATGGAAATAATGAAAGAAAACGGAACCATTATTATTCAAGACATTAATATAATAAGTTAAAAGAAAAAAAAAACAAAAACAAAAAGTATTTGACTCGGATAGAAAAACAATGCATTTAGGCTCACAAAAAACAGGTAAAAGCCACCTGCAACTTTTTGGCTGGTGGAGTGTAATACCTGGACTCGATATCTAGGATGGGTGGTCGAGCTAGTTGGAGTTTCTTCTCTTACTCTAAAATTCTTCTTAATTTGCAATCGAAATTGTGCAATGGAATTATAGAAATAAAGAATGATAATACGTATGAATAAGATGGTTAAAAAAAGGAAAGAATGTCGTGTAATGTTGGAGAGAAAAATGAAAGAACATCATGCTTTTTTAGCGAGAACATGTTTTGATTATAAAAGGAATTTTGAAAAATACTAAGTATGACCCTATTGTTTAAAACTTTAAATAATTTAAATTTGGAAAAAGTTATATTTACAAACTCTTGTTCATAAACTCTTACAAATTATACTAAGTATGACCCGTCATACTTCAATCATACTAAATATGACCGGTCATATTTCAATCAAGAGTGTATAACTGTCATATTTAGTATAATTTGTAAAAAAAACTTGTAAACTGATCCTTCTCCTTTAAATTTAGGTCAAATTTAAAAATAAAGATTAAAGAATTATTTTTACAACAATAAAGGATATACATGTAATTAATGCAGATAACATGATAAGTTGATTGAAGATGTGAGTAATAGTCCAACTAATTATGTAAGTTAACCCTACATTAAGACAGTTTATTTTTGTCTTGTAGCTTGAACTTAATGCACTTATATGGTGTAACATTCAAAAAAAAATATTTTTTAAAATAATAATTAAATAATATAAAATAAATAAAAAATGAAATTAACTTGGTTTGGAGGGAGGCAACGTGGAAGCACCCCTCCAAGAGACCAAAATTGAAGACTTTGCAAGGAAGTGAAATCTTTGAAAAAAAATTATAAAAGCCAACTTGAATTCTATACAAAGACTTATCCCTCCACCAAGTTAGTGAAGTAAGAAAAAATAGAAAGAGAGAGGGGGGAAAGAGAGATAAAAGAAAAAGGTAATATTGGAAGAGAATCTTATTTTCCTAATTTTACTTTTCTTCATCTATTTTCATATTTAAAGTTATTATTTTAAAAATATTTCTTTAAAAGCTATGAAAGTGTTGTTACTCTGTCAAATCATTCTCTTACGAATACCTTCTATTTTTGATTTTATTTTTAACTTTTGACTTTGTCTTTTAAATTTTGGTTGTGGATTTGAAGGATATGCTCGTATTGAATGATGTTGAAGCAAGACTATATATTAATTAATTTGTTTTTTTTGTACCAAATGAATATTAACAAAACATAATTTTTAACTGAATATTTCTTATGTGAACTGGCCCACAAAGATTTGGGTTCAGACGATAATATTGTAAGGAACATTTTACTTGACTTTGAGCTTAGCCAATCAGAACTTTTCATGTGCAGAAACTCGCAGAGTTTTGGGCTTTAGTAGTTTTAGTTAAAAGTTACATACTATTTTCTAAGTGACAATTACTTACTACTATTTTAAACTTATTACTCTTATTACTTAATTGATTACCGTTAGATCAATTTGAAACCAATGGTTGAAAAATATAAAAAAATAATTGCCCTTTATTTTAAATTTATCCAATGATAACCAATCGGGTAGTAAGAGTAATAAGTCTAAAATGATAGTAAGTATAACATTTTCCTATTTTCCATATTTATTATTCTAGTTATTATTTTCAAATTATGAACATACTTTGAGAGAATGATATTTTCTGTTAAAGCGATTGAACTGGTTATAGTTTGAAAACCACAATTTTATTGAGATTTATTTCACGTGTGTTTATATTATGCTAATGTTACATAAAATAGACATGCATAGTAGGGTATCTTTGGAGAGGGATGAAGCATCATAATTAATGATTTTGAGGGCTATACATAGTTCAGTTCAAACAGTTTTTTGTATACCCATGAAGTGACTTTAATTTTCTACTCCGATAAGGTAGAGTCGTTTCCTTTCGGTTTAGATGATAATGTAATCTAGCCTAATCCAGATGTACTAGTAAACCTGACTTCTTGTTTAATGTATAATTAAATTTTAAGGGTATTTTGACATATTCATTATTTTATAACCACTGCTTTATAATCTTATATTCTTTATTATTTTTATAATTCTTATTGTTTTATTTAAAATAAGATTTAAAAAATAATGTGATATTATCTATGCTAGTTAGTTATAGAGGTGTTACATCTGTATTTAAAACCCAAATCAAAGTTATCAGTTAATAATTGACAATACATTTTATAGTGGAGACAAAAAAATTCCATTAAATCCAAGCTTCAACAAAAGTTTTAAGGAAGAAAATAATAATTCTCGATGTATAAAACAAACTAATATGAAAAAGAAAAAGAAAAGAAAGAAGCCCTGCATTATGAATCACGTCTTTTTTTTTGGGCCTTACTTGGACCTCTTCTTCTATTGTCACAAATCATCGTCGAAGTAGTTCAACCAAACCTAATAATTTTGGGAGAATTAATTGTGAGAGAATTAATATTTAAAAAATAATAATTTTGAAAGAAAACGGTATTACTTTTGATTTAGAATATTATTCTACAAAAAATTTATTTTAATTCGGACAATAAAACAGAATCACTTTCAAAGTGAAAATAAATATATTTTTAAAATTCTTTTATATCATATGCCTACAATCAATTCTAGTAACTGGAGAAGTTAAAAAAAAAAAATTGTTTCTCTCAAAATCAATCCACTTACCACATAATTAGTTTTAAAAAATAGAAAAAGGTAACTAAAAACAAATGAAATTATTATGCAAATTGATTTTGATAACCGAAAAAAAGTTGATTAACTAAAGGATCAATGCACTGTTGCTGTTAGAGATATTAATATAAAAATTATTAACGTGATTATCATTTATCAACTCAAGCTTTCGGTTTTGGAAAACTTTAAATTTCCGTTCTACATATGAATTTCGTCTCAAACGAAGTGCTGTTTTTAGCTTCATTGAGACAAGATCAAGTTTGACTTGAAACTTCATATTATGATGTTTAAATATGAAAGGAACATTTTATAGCTTATGCGGTGAGTAAAATCTCATTTCTGCGGGGTGATGAAAATATCTATTTTACTTAATATTATATTTCTATTTCAATAACATTTAAATAAAAAAGCCGCATCTGTTTTTGTAATTATATATATCAAAAAATAATTTTTATTATTATATAAAAATATTTATTATGTTAAAAGCACTTTTAAAGAAATATTTTTAAATATGAAATAATTCAACCAAATTTCTTCCAATTAAAGTATAAATTTATCCAAAATTAAATTTACGAACTCTCATCTCATCCCAAGCCCCGTGACTCAATTACTTTTCCGTGTGGGCCAGGATGGCATGTGCTGAGTGGGTGTGCAGTGTGTGCCGAACACACGCACTCACAAGGTGACAAGGAGAATAGTGTGGTGAAATACCTGTTTCGCGTTGGTTTATTCAATGTGGACCGCTTTATGTCATCAATCACCGTAATGCGACAAAGTCTTAGCTGGCTCAATAACGACAACACCGCATCTCCAAATCCTGAACCACCACATCTCATAATTATAAAATAAATCATCATATTCTTCCCCTAATTAAATTTTCTTCAGAGAAATAAAAAAAAGACACGTTCATGATAAACAATTAACATCAACTTTTATTTTTTAATCTCCTTCTTACCAATACTCTACATTTCATGTCCCTTTCAATAAAATGAGTCTCTTGCTAACAAGATCGGTCCTAATAAATGAGAATTAATATTATTTCATCGTGGCTAGTATTGTCTATAAATAAGGAATATTTTTCATTCACTCTGATGGTATGTGGTTACTAAATAAGAGCAGGAAGAGCGTATCGTTTGCGTTTCTTCTATGCCTTTTTCTGTTCCTTCAGTACTTTGGAGGAGTTTTTAAATATTTTATTTATTGCAAGTTATACGTAGTAAATGTTTAAATATTAATTATAAAATCTAATAATAATAAATACATACTAAGGTCGTGCAGATCCTGATACGAATATTATTGAAAGATTTATAACATGTTTGATGAATGTTAATTTTAAAGAAATAATTAGTTTTAAAATTATTTAAAAAACAAGTCCTCAACTAAAAGCAATTCAAATTCGTGTTTATTGTTGGACAAGTCAAAAATGACACCGGCCAAATGCTTAGTCGTACGCATGAGTTGGGGAAGTTAGTCATCCAGCAGTTGCTTTTGGAATTTTCTTCGTGCCACTTAATTTTCTTTTTTAGAACGAAAAAAAGATATTTGTGATTGTTTCCTTCAGTACCATTGAGTACTGTAACTCCAATATGTTCTCTAGGAGAGGATATGGATTGCTCTATGTTAAAGATAGAGACTAAGTTAAACAACAACATCCCAAGTAAGGAGTCTTTACCTGCAAGTTCGGAGGGGGGTGTGATAGTGAGGGCTAAAAGTAATAACAAAGTAACGGTTCATAAGTTGTGCTTTTTGTCTGGTGATAGATGGGTATTTATAGGTGAAGAAGATGCATTCCTTGCATGGAAGAATGAGCCTGGTCAACTCTTCTTGGGGGTGATACGGGTGGCTGGCATTACTGTGACGACAGCAATGCAGCTTCTGCCAGGTTGGTGGCCGTCACTGTTACTACATCTATAGAAGAGAAACTTCTATTTAGAGGGTTTAGGAATACTGTGTGGTGGGAGATAGAAGGGAAAGAGAGTTGGTAATTACTGATCAATAAAACTGACGTAGAAAAAGATTTGAGTGTGCCTTAATGGGCCGCTTGGTTGTGAACCATCCAGAACACCTTCAAAATGGAGAATAAATAAAAAAGGGTCAATATTAGTTTGTACAACCAAATCATGGTACATGAGAAGACTATAGTTACACATAAGCATCACATATACCACACACTACAAATCAAAATAATTTGGAAAACTGCCATATTTCATTAATTTAACTGGCGTAAATAATCGAATTTAAGTATTTGTGTTTAGGCTTGAACTGTAACACTGTCATTAGTTCTATTCTAAGTTGGTTGGTATCTTTCTGCGATGTAATTGGTGAGCGTAGGCTTTTTTTTTCAGCTACTCTGTACACTGAAGCATATCATCGGCTCGTTAAATTGAAGTGATTTTCTATTTTCGTATTCTATTGAAAATAAATAAACAGATATACTAATGCACCCGATTTTTTTTATATTTTTTTTTAGAAAAATGTGCTGATATTAAATCGCGAGTCAAAATAAATTGCGAGCCTGATTAAAATTGTACCATTTGATTGATAAAAATAGAAAGGCATGTCAATAGCTGATAAATTTCGTGAAAATGTAATCACGGGACATAGAGGCGTTGATAAATAATTAAATCTGGAATTTACGATTGTGCTAAATAAACAAATTTTTTAAACTTGAATTACTGAAAATTTTACCAACTATAAACAAAGATAATGAAAACAAAAAAGATAATTGAAGATACAATGTTTTATGCATGAAACAATTAATTTGGAGATCTTAGATGCGAAAACATTTGAGGTTATAATTTAAAATATAAATAAAGGGTTTAACGGTTTTTAACGATGCATTTCAAAGGATTTATACTTGTGATATTAAAATTATATATATTTTTTATCTCTTTAAAAGGTTTCATATGAAAAGTAAAAAAAAAATATAAATATAATATTATAATTATCCTCAAACATATTTATTTAAAATTGTTAAAAAGACATAACTTAATAACTTGTGTCTTTTAAAATCACAACAGTTTTTCACATAAATAAAAGAAAAGAAAAAGTTAATAAACAAGAAAAAAAAGAAAAGAAAAAGTAAAAAGGGTAGGGTTAGGTAGTGGGTGGATTTATATTTAAGGAAAGAATCTGTGATTGTGCGATTCATTTTTGATTTTGCAGATAGAAGCCATGGATAGGCTTCTATCGTTGTCTTCACCCCCTTCTAAGCCTTTTACATTTCGGAGTCGTTTTGAATCTGCAAGATTCAATCTTTCCCCATCAACGCGTTCCTTCTTGAGGCGAACCACCTCAATTTGTTGCAACCATGAAAACCCATCTCCATTTTCGTCATCAACTCCCTTGTTTGCTTCATCCGTGGCCCCCAATAATTTACCTTCCCTTGCGTCTTCTCCAAACAGGTCCATACCCGAGCCCCATTCTCCCAATCAGATTGCAACTGAGGCTTTCCAAAAATCAAAGGTATCGTTGTACTCTGAGTAATCATTCTTATGAAATACAATTTTTTTTTTTTTGGGGGGGGGGGGGGTTTATTTGTATATCATGGTCATTTTCAAGCTGATGTTTCATGAGGAAAACCCATTTGGTTATTTGAGTTATAGTCAAATAGTCTTGTAGGGAGATAAAGCTACTCTTTGATTTTTAAAATGCCATGGAACCTTACCAAAGGATTTGAATTTGATATGTGTGCACAAATCTATTATAATCTGACTGATGACTTTCAGCCAATATGTACTGAAGGGTGTTTAAATTAAATATCATGTTTCTTATGACTTATTTATTTACTTTTGGAGACATATTTCTTATGAATTTAGTTTAGCCGTTCTGTTATAGTTTCAATCTACAACCAGGCTTTGGGACTAGGGCTTGATGTTAGCTTGTTGTTGGTCTTATATGGTTTTTTATACCTTAACCAATCTTAGCTCTTTAATTACATTTTTTTGCTAATAAATCATGATAATCGACACACTCTTGGAGTTATCATTAACTGAATAGAGACTTGGATATATGGAAAGTTTCACTGGAAAATTACTCTGTTGAAGTAGGTGACCTGACTTTTGACATTTCGGTGTATCCTTTTCATTTGGCTGATATTCAATTCTTCACGATCAATTTTGCCGCATGGGGGTCTATACTCTATACAGACTCAATGTAAACATTACTTTTAGTTTTAGCTAAGATCTTTTAAAATTCCGGTGTATAAATTGATCTTGGGAAAAAATCATCCTTTATGCTTTTTGTCACAGGCAATAACAGCTCGGACACTTGTAATACTCTCTGCTCTTGTTGTGATCTTAATCCAACCAGCTATTGCACCAGCAGCTTTTGCAACCTTTCAAACCGCTGCCAAGACCGGTGGTCCTGCTGCTGCTATAGTTGGTGGGAAACTAATCCGCACTGAGCTCCTAAGTAGTGCCTGGACTGGTTTCTTTGCTGGCTGCTTGCACACCTTATCAGGGCCTGATCACCTTGCAGCTTTGGCTCCATTGTCAATTGGACGCACCCGAATAGAGAGTGCCGCGGTTGGAGCCCTTTGGGGTTGTGGCCATGACGCTGGTCAGGTTATCTTTGGCTTAATATTTTTACTCCTGAAGGATCGACTTCACATTGAAATTATTCGAACTTGGGGCACCAGAGTGGTTGGTCTTACCCTGCTAATAATTGGTGCTATGGGAATTAAAGAAGCTTCAGAAGTGCCTGCTCCTTGTGTTGCCTTAGAAAATGGTGAATGTGATGTCGATGTCTATGAATCGCTTAATAATCCAACAGTTGGAAAGAAGAAGATTGGTTTTGCAACTTTTGCCACAGGGATCGTTCATGGACTGCAACCAGATGCATTGATGATGGTATTGCCTGCCCTTGCTTTGCCTTCTCGTTTGGCTGGTGCTGCATTTCTGGTCATGTTCTTACTTGGAACTGTAGTTGCAATGGGAAGCTATACCGTATTTATAGGTTCATGTAGCCAGGCACTAAAGGATAGAGTACCTAGGATAACTGAGAAACTCACTTGGGCTTCTTCCCTTATTGCAATAGCCCTCGGATTTGCTATCATTATTAGCCAGTTTTTTGGGTTTAGTCTGTATTAATACATCTTTAATCAGTAAGGAACTTATTTTACGAACACCGTTTTGTGGTCAAGAAAAAGTAGAGACGTCAGAGAAAAATTTGTTTGTTTAAGGCTAGTTCATCGTCCTGTCAATTATTTGACATTGCTTTTGAATGTGTAATATTTAAGTTAAACGATTCTGCAGCTGAGAACAACTTAGCTCTTTATCGATATTTCTCAAATTCATTTTACCAATAATGTTGACCTATATTGGTTGTGCCTTGGAATTCACATACAGTTTTTTATTCATATGTGGGTGTTGTGTATAAAGTATATAAACAAGATACTTTTTTAGTAAACGGCCATGCTAGTAGAGTACAGGCAGCTCCTGCTTTAGGTTGATCCCTGGATTTGTACTAGTGCATAGTCTATTTCATAATATGGAATGTTTTTTTTTTTCAATTCTTACCATTTGCCTAGAGCTTTAATTAAAATCAAGTTGACCTTGTGTGCGTAATATTGTTGGATAAAACCATATTTGCCTGCAGCTAATATTTAAACCCTATTCTAGCTAAACAATGCTGTTTGCCAAAATGAAAAGTCGAGACATGCCCCATTCAAATTGTAATTGCTAAACCCGCATGAAAATTGTGCTATCAAGTATATATAATTACTCGTCTTACGTGACCCCATGTCGAAATGATACATTATATGAAGGGCTCATAAGTATAATTTTTTTTTTCTCTTGTCAAATCTATGAGCCCCAATTCCATGAATGGGAATGACCATTCACCCAGTAATGAGAAATGTTAAGAACACTCGCCAAGTTCTTGGAATATAGGTATGTATCATTGCATCCACAAAATCATGATCACAAGTTTCTACTAAATTGGTGCAGCCCTATTCCTCGGTAGATGAAAAAGAAACAAATGGGATTCGGAATTAAGAAATGAATGTCTTTTGTAGGGTGATTAATAGTGAGAAACCAGAAAGCAATGATTTTATGGCATTAGTATTAGGATTTTATTAATCTCCTTTTACATAAGATAGATATCTTATGTTGTAGAGAGAAACTAGGTGGGTCCCACCATTACAAGAAAAAAGAAAAAGAAAAAGAAAAAAAAAAGTGAGGTGCGGAAATCGAAGTGAGAAAAAATGAGATAAGCTACCTCATGTAAAAGGAGACTAATATTTCCCTTAGTATTAACCTTTAAGCTCAACTTGGCACTAAAGATAAAGGCAAGGTATTCACAAGACATGAAATTCATGGTCATACAAGAAACATCAGTGCTTCTGTTTTTTGCCGATGTGATAAAGCACACATATCTGCTGGTGTCTTCGCCAGAAACTACAAGGGCCTCGGGCAGATTAAATTACAGAGCTTTGATAGGGAACAACTAAATAATATCTTAAAGGCATGACATGAACACATACTACTTCATTATTATTATTATTATTATTATTATTAGGGTTTAGTGTCAGTCATTTAAATGGATACAAGTTGTCCTTTTAGTGACTTACACAAAGTATGACCGGTCATATTTTGTCTAATTCTGAAAAGTTACTTTTTGTTTTTCACTTTACACCTCAGCAGTGAATGGAGAGAAAAAAAAAAGTAACTTTTAGAATTTACACAAAGTATAATCAGTCATACTCTGTATAAATCATCTAAAAAGACACAACTTGTGTCCTTTTAAATGATACTTCTTTTTCCTTATTATTATTGCTGCGGTTGTTTTGGTAATATGAACACATATTAGTTGGAGCTTACATTGTAGAAGATATATAAATATTCTATTCCGATACTTATAGCTAAAATGTAAAGAACGGAAATTATAAAATCAATGATCAAGTCATGAATATTAAATTACTGAATCGTATTAAAGAGTTAATAAATCCAAACTCAAGCTAAAGTGCACCAAGGCTCAAGTAAAACATGCTAGCCACAAAGCAATGTTTTCAGAACAAAGTAACTGCACGTGCTAAATCTAAATTAGAGCATTCAAATAGACACGATTTAAACTTGAAAGCTTCTTCATATATGCAGTAGAATACAGTTAATAAACTGAAAATATAGAGAATATTGACTGTGTCTCCCAAAATACATCAAATACTTATTGATGCCGACATGCATTTTTCAAAAAAATAAAAAAAATTACATGTCGGTGCTTTCTAGAAGAAATCCATCAACGAGATGCCGCTGACAAGTTAAAATGAGAATGCCATGTTATATATAACTTTTGGAACGTATATTACATGATATATAATGGTATTATTTTGATATTATTTCTTTAATGTTTTATTGTTTAAGTAAAATATTATATTAAATTTATTGAGTTTAATTCGTTTAATAAAATTTCTTCAAATTTGTATTGAAAAACAAAAATAAAAAATGTCATTAGTTGCTAGCTCAAAAGAACCTTGGTTGCCCAAAAATAAAAACTGATACCATGTAAAGAATTTTGGAAAGCTAGCTCAAAGGGTGGGAATGCCCAAGGCCTTATAAACTTCACATTAGTTGCTCATACAACCAAATGTGGGACTATATATCTCAACAATTATCATTATTGAGTAGTGAGCACCACAAAAATCATGATATCACAAAAACAAAAATTATGTATTAATTCTAGGAGTAGAGTTTGAAAAAATAACTCAGCGTCTCGGCCTCCCAAAAAATAAGCACGATACGACAAGAGCAACCTCTGCAAAATTCAATTCGGTTTCGGCCATGATACGGAAAAAAACAAGTAGACCAGTCACCCATTTTTTGTGTGCATGAAATAAATGATCTTATGTAATATATAAAATTACATTCCCAATTTTTTTAGGAAATGTTATTCTCATGTAAAGAAATTTTTTCTTATACACCCTTAAATAAAAAGTGAGGCCTACTCTATTTTCTCTCCTCTTTCATTTAATTTATGAGTGGATAAAAAAAAATTCTCTACTATATTAGGAAAGTAATATCTCCAATTTTTTATGCCATAACTTTTCTTGCATTACTCTTTCGAGTTGTCAGTCTTACTTTTCCCACTGTGTGAATGAATCGTTTTATTTCGATCTCAAATCTAAAATATAGAGAAATAGCAACTCAGTAGTCACGAATCACGATCGTTCCAAGCGCGAAAAGATCCCCCTCACCGACTTGCTAGTTGCTATCACAAATCACTCTTCGTGCTATAGAATCCTAATTTTTTTTTTAATTTATGAATATTGCAACAGAAAAATAACTATATAATAAATAAAAGACCGCATAAAGGGCAGTTTGAAAATATGATGATTTTACCAAATATGGTAGCTCAGTTGACGCAGGTGAACTGAGCAGGTGGGGAAAGAGCACGTGTTCAAATCCTCCCATATCATCTTTGGGAGGGGTTTAAAGCCTTAATCCTGGACCCGTCCCGAATCGAATTAGTTGCGAAGCGATGAACCGATTGGAATATTTTCAAAAAAAATAAAAAATAATGATTTTCGGAAAATACAAAAATAGTCAAATCTTAATTTTAAAGGTTATTTGCGCTTAAATAAATAAGGAAGAGAATTACAAAAGCACACAAATTTAAAAGCTAAAGGTTAGAGTAAATAAAAAAAATATGTTTTTCTCACGTTACATGAAATAAATTATCTTATGCAACTTCAGAAAATTATTTCTCATAAACAAAATAAAGAATTTATGGAGTCAAGTTATTTCTGGTGAGCGCAAAACGATATTGTTTTGGAACGGAAACGAAAGTATTTTTGTAATTTTAATATATTGCAGGGTTATTAGTCTTTATCATTATAATTTTTTAATCTTATAACCCAAAACAACATTGTTTTAAGTTTACTGGAGATAACTTTACGGAGAAATATTTTTTCCATAAAAAAATGGAGAAATATACTCTTATGTTATAGAAGAGTACTTTTTTTTCGTACACACTGTTGCACCAAGATTTAGTGTATCTCATCAATGGAAACATTACACATCAAATGAGAGACAAAAAATTTGGCATAAAAAAGAGAATTTTATCGATTTTTATGTTTTTCTTTTCTTTTTTTCTTTATTATAAGTGGATGGTCCCATGCATGATTGTTTCTATAACACCAGAGACTTTATATTGCATTATATTAATAAAGGCCTAAAATATATATAATATAAAAGGATGCATTACGAAGTAAAATTTGTTTGTTAAAATAAATAAAAAAGAGAATATGACAATCTAAAGAAGTAAAAATCCCTAACAGCCCGAACCATCCATCTGAATCTGCTGGTTTATCAACATCTAAGCAAATTTGTGTATTCACTTTGTTGTCTCAGAACAGAACATGAGCCTAAAAGTTCAAAGTTTCAATACTAGACTTCTTTGGCATTCTGCAAACAGGACAAGCTTGGAGAAAAGCCTCACAAGCTTTGCATGAACAAAGGTGCCTGCAAGGAAGGAACAAACAGCACGAGCTCCTAGAATTACAGCATTTGCAGACCATAGTTTTTCTCCTAATCTGTTCAGCTTCCCTTATTACCCCACCATTGAACACTCTGCTCTCCCCTGTTTCTTCTTCCAATGCCATGTTTCTCCCGCTTTCGTCACAGCATGACTCTACATCTTCTGCTGCTGCCACCCCATTGTTAAAATAACAAAAATCTCTTTCTTTTATCTGTTCTAAGGTGTTATGAAGCGACAGTACCGTAGCTTCTTTTTCCTGAGCCACTCTCTGCCATGATTGGTTCTCAGCCTCCAATCTCCTTACAAAATCTTCTAACTCGGTCATTTTCTTTGCTGCATGTGCTATTTGTTCATCCTTTTGGATCAGCACACAAAGTGCTTGCGATTCCATTTTTTTCAGCAAAGCAGCCACTTGTTGCATTCTATGCTCTTGCATCATAGTTCTCAATTTCTCGTTCTGTCACATAAAAAAAAACACCAATTGGATTAGATTAGATTCAGATACGAACTTAAACTCACAAATACAAAACAACAAATGTGCTAATCTACAATAAAATAAAATAGAAACTAACATGTGATGTGATATACTGATCAATCTCGTCCCTCTGTTTATGAAGCTCAAGATCAAGGCTTTGAGAATATAGCAATGAATTGTTATACAGCTTATTGGTGGCGATGTAGGGATTCGAATTAGAAAGAAGAAGACTGGGTCCAATAACAGACATGTTTTGATTCATCTGACTCTCGTTGTTGTATAAGCGTTGGTCTCCGGGATGTTGATGTTGGAGACTAAATACATATGCAGATCCGATTGCCATATACAGATCCAATCAAAGCATCAAAACAAATCCCTTCCTTCAACAAGGAGCACCACCATATTTGCTTGCATAGAATAGAATAGAATAGAATATATAACGCTAGAAGGATCAAAAGGACTTCAGGGTCTAACGGCGGGTTTTTGGTTGTCTTGTTATTTCGAGGAAAACGCGTAAGCAAGAATCAGAGAGTTGTTTGTGGCAGTGAGAGTGAGTACTTGGCAAGCAAATATATTTATACTTAATAATATAAAGTGGGAGAATAAATTTTGCATCTAAAAAAGAGTTGGAAATAAAATAATGGATAGATTTTGAATGAAAGAAAATAGTAACTGAAAAACTTGAAAAGGAAAAAAGAAATACTAGCCTAGGATACTGCAGAGTTTCTCTCTCTGACTCTTTATTTTTTTTTAACTTTCTTCCTCTTTTTTCTCAATCCATAGTCTAAGCATTAAAGGAAGAGGAGTGTGGGACGCGGTAAGCAACCATGTACCCCATGCAGATTTTGTGACTGAACTATCGGTCAGAGGCGTTTGTTTTCTTTTGAATAAAGGATTTGAATTCAATTCCAAGTGTGTGAGAAACTCACGTAAACATGTGAATATAAAAAAAGTCTGTTTCATTCACGAGTAAAAATAAAAACAGTCAGTCTATCAAAAAATTAAAAAAAAAGGGACAAATTTTTCAGCAATTTGATTTTATGGAAACCAAAGATTTGAAATCTCAGGAATTAACATTTTCACGAATATCCGCTTATTGTTTTCCTTATACATGATTATGCACGAACATTTTCTTTAATAAATGTCAATTGAATTCTTGTTTCCTTCCATAATTGATAAATCTAAGGAAGGTTTTAAATAAGGATATTATAGCTGCCTGTCATTTAACCATCTCTGTTTATTAGGATTTATGACATTTTTTCACCTTTGTAGTTACCGATTCAATTTTTGGTAAGCTTATGATGAAGAAATTACCAAAACAAATTTATATTAAATCATGAGGTGATCAGTTATATTTAAATTTTTAAAGCATAAATTAAATTAAATTAAAATTCAAGTTATAGCATAAAAAATATAGAACAGATCATATTAATATGTGATTGTAGTTGCAAATGATATCTTGTATATATTATGGGAAAATTGTTTGTAAAGTGACTGTACTTAAAGATTGATGCGGATCATTAGGTACTATTGAAAGTACATAGTTATAATAAATATTATAATTATGTACTTTCGGAAGTACATCAGAGTACACTGTTTTTCTTTGGTATACTACCGAAAATACATAATTATAGTAAATATTATAACTATGTATTTCCAAAAATACATAGTTAACCGCACCAAACCTTAAGTTATAAGTGCAGTCACGGTACATCCACTAAAACTATATATTATATAGGATGGCAGTTTCTCTGTATGTTGCCAAATTATTTTAGATAGAAATCGCAGATAATATTACTAAATAGAAATTCATTAATTGTTAATTAAGTCATGTAAGTTTGTTAACTTCACATAATTTACTAATCAATAAATTCTTATAATTTTTTTATTAATTTAACAATCCAATTATAACCATTTATTAAAACTTGTGTTGATTTCAACATAAACCTCATCTACCAAAAAATACCCAAATAGAAAAAAATCTTAACAACTAATAAATATACTGAATTAGCTTAAACGATTGAAGGTATGTTATTTTTATAATAAATTCAAGATCGTTTAGAACTTTCATTGATGCTAAGAAGATATTTATAAATTTGAAAAACATTAAAATATTATTTATCTAACCAATTTAGTGTTTTAATTTATTAGTATAAAAGTTTAAAAATAAAATAAAATGTGAAATTATTAGTTGATGAATTAATATTTCACATAACTGTTAGCTTAGGCAAATTCATTAAACAACATATTAACATAAAATTAAATGATAATAAAAAATATTATGATAATATATCAAAAATCAAATTATGTAAATTTTTTTAAAATAACTAATGTCGGCAACCATTCAATATTGCTATATTGAGAAAAAAGAAAGAAATAGTTATATATATATATATATATATATATATTACTTTATTATTTCTCTAATGTTAATTAGACCTTTAATTTAATAGCCTTCTTGATTTATTATATACCAAACTGAGTTATTGGCCATATATACTTGCTGTTAAGCTTGATACACCTAAAATTGATTTTGAATTATATGTGCCTGCGTCATTTATTTATTTTGAGTATTTATTTTATTTTCAATGATAACATTTTCATTTTAATTTTTGAACATTTTAGATTTTAGGATTATTTGACTCCGTATAAGAAGGCCCTTAAAACTCAATTGTTAATTGTTTAGTTTTTGAATACTTTTTTGTAAAATAAGATTCTTTTTGTCAATCTTATTCTTCTATTTAGTCATTTTTTTTTTTTTTTTTTTGTGTATTCCGATATTTCCACAAATAAGTTAGAGCACTATCGTGGGTAACTTCGATTAGAAAAAGAACTTTATCTTGTTTTGAAGATAAGATGCATGTTCTCTCAGTCCTAGTTTAAAAACATTTTATGTAAAATTTTGTTAATTATGATGTGTTTTTGAGCACTGTGACTAAATTGCTATCTAAGTGGTTGAAAGCGTGTATAAACCTTCTCGTCAACCAAGAGGCAAAAGCCAAAAAGAACACGTAATAACCTTCAGTTATATACCTTTGTTTTGGGAAATGCGAGCCAATCAGAGTCTCTAGCCATGTAACCTAAAAAGAGAGGAAAAGAGTTTAAAAGCCCATAAAGAATCAAAACGATGTGAAAGTTCTTATAGGTTCGAATTTAAATTGATCCAAAGTTACCAATGTAATGGCTCGTAAAAGAAAAAAATCACAGCGGATAATATCTGTTGAACTTTGGACGATATATTGGAACTATCTTTTTGGAACTGCACGATCTAATTAAACGCAAGAAGAAGCCATGACCATGACCCACTCCGCTCTGGACGCTTACGCTGAAATCCCAAATCACGGAAACATTATGGCAGTTTATGTCAGCCAACACCGCAAATGCAAAATAAAATTATATAAAAAAAAAAAAAAAAGTATTGTTTCATTTCCCTGTGTACGTGTTTGAGAAAAGTCAGTCATCCCCTTTATTATTTTATTTTATTTATGTTGGAAAAATTAATTTGTTTTTGGTTTTTCCTATAAAAGCAGAGTGGAAAGTGAGACAGATGGAAAAAGCAGAAACAGTGAGCCGGTTGAGCATATCTGAATGTTAATAGTGTGGTAAGGTGAAGATGGTGAGGTGGTGAGTGGTGATGGACCCACGTGCAGGCCACCCACCTTGACCCTATGAAGTCTCGTCACTTCTCCCTTGTGCAACTGCAACCAAAAAGGTGCAATCCATGTGAAACCAATTAACCTATATTACTATACAAGTACCACCCCACATTGACTGAGTTATATAATCGTTATCAATATCATTCACTCTTCTCAAAGAAGCCCATCAGACTTTGCTTTGTTTGAAACTAATTATTGAAGACGGGATGTTCCTATACGCATAGCCCATTTCTCGCATTTGACGCAAAAAGTCTTTGCTACAACCTCTCAACTACTTGTCTTTGATTTGTTTTTGAACCTTGGGCAAAGCGACATGGAACTTGTGCAATAAGGCCAGTCCCACCTCACCACCACGAAGCTACGTGTCCTGAGTGGACTTAAAAGAAACGGTCAGAAAAAATCAAGTCGTTCAACGCCATAATTATTTACTTTTAGACTTTGATTTTGCACTATCACGAAACATACAGATGATTGTCTACGAACCAAGATAATTCTTTGGTGGAGTAGAGAGAGGAGAGGGTCCCCTGATAGTGTGATTCTACCATATAATTAATCCGAGTGATTCTTACATTGCTATGAAGGTAAATCCCAAATGTGTGCAATCACACAGTTCAACTTGCTAGTACCAACCACCCTTAGTGCAACCTTATGTAGATTCAATTAGTAATTTTTTTTCTTTCTTGGGGTGACTCACCTCATTGCAGGAAATGCATAAATTAAATAGTAAAAGACCCAATTATTATTATTATTATTTTTAATAAAAAGTTTATAAGTAAGATTATACACACACACACACAACAACAACAACGTTGTTATTATTAGGCTATTCCTCGATCGGGTAAACCTAATTATCCGAAGGCTTCTTTTACCTTTTCATTTTTATTATTATGTATGAGTGGTAGGCAGCTAAGAATTATACGTTGGCATTTTCCAATGTAGTCGCATACAATTAAAATTAATGCTCTCTTTTCAGAAACAGTAATGCAAATGTAATTGGAGTTTCCCCCAATATTTAATCTGACATGGGCACGCCGAGACAACACAAATTAAGCACCAAAGCTGCTCACCTCACCAAGTTATGGTGTCGCTACATCAAAGCTCTGTCCTACTCCACTACCGATTTGTGTTGAAAAGAACCATCTACTTTTGGTGTGTTTTCATTGATCATGATATTATATCTCTGACTTGGATGGGTTAAAGCAGATGCGATTCAATGCTTTTGGTAATCTCTCAGAGGACCACGCCAAAGTGCATAATTCGAGGAAAGTTGGTGAGTTCGTCCGTACATGCCTTGGCTGAAACGTTGGCGTGGGAGTGACCAACATGTTGCGTGGTCTTTTGTTCACAACATTGAGCTCTTTTTGTTTGTATCTACAATGACAGATATATTAGATAATTTGATTTGTACGTTTTATTGTTGTCAATCTTGGTTTCAACATCTACTGATCTACGTACGCAATGCTAATGTCTCTCCATCTTTAGATAAATAAAAAAGCAACATATAGAATAAGGTTTAGTTAGATCATTGTGACGTTGATGCCTAATTCTCTACAAAAAATAAAGTTATGTGGCTTTATACTATATCACACATAAATATTCTGTTCAATCACTAATGCTGTAATCTTCAATAAAATATACTTTATCAAATTTGGAATCCTGACAAATTAAGTAATAATATAAAAAAAATAAAAAGAATATATTTGTATATGAACATACTAAGTGAAAGCTTGACTTGATATTGAAGAGCTACTCTGGCTACATAAAAATCCGGACGGTCCTTTAACAATATAACAAATTGGCAGGTGCACGATATATTATTGATATTGCCTGCTGCATGCATGTGTTTTTTATCTTCATGTCAGATGTATGCATATTGCATAT